AAAGGCTAATTAAGTGTTTTACTTGCGGTAGGAAACCGAAGCACCTGGAGAAAACCCATGGGTGTGAGGGGTGATCACTCGATTCCATACAGATGGAGTCCACATTTTTGCTGTACCGCTTTTCCCTAGCAAGCCGGGGTATGGTACCTCTGATGCCCACGGGAATGGAGTTTCACGACATTTGCCCAGTCGACCAACCCTCGTCGCCGCCTCCACAGTGCTGGATTACAGGCCAAGTGCGTGGCCACCTTTTATGGTTGCGTTGTTATTTAATACTGAGCTGACAGCGTCATTGCTTCTTCATTCATTAAAACCTTTCTGCCCCTCCGGGCACAAGCGAGGGTAAAACCCTGCACACAGGAGTCGGTCTCAATACAGCGGAACCGTGGAACCAATTAAATATCTTAATAATCGCTCCTTTATCCAGGACGGCCTCACCATCCCCCAGATACTCCTCCACATACAATGTATTCTTGCTTGGCGAATGTGCCTCGCTGTCGGCCATTTGATTCACGAACGGGGTGGGGGGGGGGCAAACTGCAGTGTGGAACGTAAGCGGTGGAAACTCGGACTCCCATTATTCTTTCGTATGGATGTGAATTGAGTAGCCAACAAGTTGCGTGAAGTAAGTCAAGTCGATGTCCTGAGTTGTGAATCCAGCTGCTGGCTTTTCGAGGATGGCAAGTGAATGCCACGATTCATAATCAAGTTCCTGGATTTGGCCACGCATTGATCTGACCGTCGTTAAGAACCCTCCACCACCCGACGCAGCCAATCAAATTGATTGTCAAGCGGTATGCACGCGTCTAACGGCCTGGGGAGTCTGGCGCGTCTGTGACACTTCAATTCCCCTGCGCGGGCGTTCGCCGTGGTGGTGCCGTACACCTCTCCCGTTGCGCTCTCGGGTTGTGCCGCCGCCGCTCCCAGCATGTGGCAGCGAAACGTCGGACATTGTGCCAAACAACGCGCGGCGGCTGCACGGCCCGCACACGCACTGCTCGAAAGCTAATTCTGTTGCGCAGAGCGAAACTTGGGATGAACTCCAGAGCAGAGGGCTGAGCTTGTTTTCATTTTAGAGCGAAACGTGAGTGATGTGGAGGTCGCCAGACCAACACCACTTTTTAGGGGAAGACACGTATGCAGGCATCGCGGTGCTGGCTTGGACTACTGCCAAGGCTTGCCTTTGCAGCCTGAACAGGCACTTCTGGCAAATAACTCTTGGCCCACGAGTCAACACTGGCTGGCGGGGGGGTGTATTTTGCGCCCGTTGTGTGCTCGTGTTTGGGTTTGTCGGGCGATAGCGGTGGGCGAGGTTGAGCAAAGTGTTCGATGTTGCCGCTTTGGATGCGTGCGTGTGCGTGCGGTGTTGGATATGACGGGGTGGAGGGGTTGGTGATTTTCTCTCGGTGTGCGGTGTCGTGACAGGGTGGCTCGCGCGGCCGGCTTCAGGAGCATGGAGAAACCCAGACGTGCAGAGAAAGCCAGACGGGCAGATCAATTCTCTATAAATAGTCCTATCAGGCTGATATGAGTGCTTTGACCTTTTGTGTACGTGTGTCTGGGAGTCTTTATGTTTCTGTGTGGGTGTGGCTGCTGGCCACAGGCCAACCCCTTAGTGCGCCGTTACGGCCTTAATAGGTGTTCGCGTACAGCACTTGCCCAGAGCAGAATGTCGATGGTTATGCAGGCAATTGCCGTCACTGCGTGCGAGCGTGGAATTTTGGAAGAAATCGTGCAGGGGTTGGTCATGTTGCACGGTTGAAACTGGTGACCTGAGCTCAGATTACCTGGAAACAGCGTTCGTCGGTGGCAAGTGGGTATCCAGGGCCTGTTCTGGGCCTCCACCTGGTTGACTCGGCCTTAAATTAGAAACCGGTGTTGGTTGTGTAATCTCTGACACCAACGCTGGAGAGAAAACGATTTGGCCGGGTATGATGCTGGTCCACATCTCACCCAGCCCTGTGTTTGCTGCGGCGGCTTTAATTTGTCCTCGCTGAACAGCGCTTGCCCCCCCAGTGCAGCCTGTTGAAGGCAACACGGGCATCTTCGCCTCTGTTGGGAGTGTGTAGAGCGGTGGAGTTTTTAGGTTGGCCAGCTCCCGGCTATCTTACTGGGCACAATAATGGGCAGCGGCGTTTGGTATCAGAGATTGGCTTGGCTCAAATGAGTCCTTTAATAAAGTAATTGCAGGTTTTAAATCCCCCCCCCCTCCTCCTCCTCCCCACATTTTATATTTTATACTCAAAAGATTAGACATCGCATGCTGCACGGTCTTAATTTATGTTATGAAAGGTTTCCTTTTTTGTTAGCTAAAGCTTCTGAGAAGCTGCTTTTGTCTCGTCAAGAAACTAATAATACCGTGTTCTTCGGATTATGAGACCCTCCGGGAAAATAAGACGCACCTTCCGCTCCCCCCTCTCCCCAACTTGGTCTTGGCCTCAATAAGCAATCACGGTATGCAAATCTGGCCAATCGCACGCACACTCGCACACCTACCGGATTATTATTAAGCACCCCCTCAAACACTTGGGCAGGGAGGGGAATGAGTAGGTCACGATCTGGAGAATACAGCACCACTGCCTCTTTGGGGTAAGGCCCCATTAGCTCTCACGAGCTAATGCCTCAGATGGATTGCAGGCCGTTAATAAAGTTCGCCTTTGAAGCCGAGTGAAATATGCCCCAGGAGCGGTGGTTAATCCTTTACGAGCTCTGACCGCTCAGAAGCCGATAACTTTGGCCTATTTATTATGTTTATGACCTTGCAAATTGTGCCATGATGGCACATTAAATAGCAAAACGGAACGATCAAGGTGCAGCCCTGCAATGTCTTCCTCATTCAGCTGCTGGTGGAAAGCACCTCTACTTGAGGGTGTATTTTGTATTCATATTCTTGGGTTTTTTCGGAAAAGTCACGTAGGTAAAAAATTTAAATTAATAAAAGTAAAATAAATAAATAAATCACGGCGTTTCGGAGGCAACACAAGCTTCCGTCTTCAGGTGGAACCGTCGCAGCACGATAGCTGTATCAAGTAAATGAGAAATTCTAAGAGATCCGACCCTGTGTATTTTGGCCTACTCCTCCACGCTCAGCTAAATGTCTTCCATGCCCGGTATTTTGTTTGAAGAAGAAAATTCCAGGCCAGCTTCAAGCTTTTTCGGTGTCATCAGCGATGCAGTTGAACTATAATATTTGCCGTGTCGCAGGGTATTATCCGCAAGAGTATTCCCTCTAAATGTAGTATCCTAATGAGTGCAAAAAGCAATATATTCCATATGAACCCATTATCTGAATTCCTCTACAACGGTGCATAATAAGTTAAATGCATCCCTGCTTACCTTTGTATAAACATCATACTTCTTGTCTTTTTTTACGTGGAGGCAGAGACCAATAGAATTGTGCTTAATCACCCATAATGTTTCATAACACTGCATAATGAGTTTTTAATACAAGAAATAAGTAGTTCTGCTGCAGCGTCAAAATAAAATCACGTTTTAAAGTCTACAAGTAGACAAAGCCGTTGCTCTGCAACAGAAAATAAGAGGCATCTGTCATTTTCATATTCCCTGCACAATCATGTACTAGGAACACAACAAGTAATCTGCATTTTTACGTAATAAAATGCCGAGGTAATATTCTCTGGAATTGAAAGAATTTCTATCGGGCTTAATAATTACATTGCTAGGAGCACAAATAGAAAAGTTAGGGCAATTTTAAATGAACAGTGGTCAGTCTTTTTGTTTGCGTTACTCCCACCTCTACCGTGTCACTATCTATCATTGTCATTAAATGTCTTCCGAACATTTCCGCCGTTTCAATTAAACTCAATGCACCCACTAACAATAGACTTATTGTTAGGGTGCAGAGGGGAGGCCAGCCAGCAGCTAGCCAGGAAACTCGAGGCATCGATTATACACTGGTCAACAAAAAAATAACATTTTTTTCTGGCCTGGACTTTTGCAGCTGTTTTAGACTAATTTCAGGGTGCTGATTCCAACTCTGAGCTCAGATTTGCTCTATCACATCTCATTTTATGCTATCGGCATACCCCATTTTCATTGATTTTATCCGAAATTAACTCTTGTCACTTATGATTGCAAGTTGTTGCGAGTCAGTGACTGCTTGAGTGTTAAAATACGGTGCTGTATTTTTAGGATAGTGTGTTTATAATATCATTTTATGTAGATATCCACATTTATTTCATATATTTCTTCTGCAGTTTTTATTGAGAATGCAATATTTGATATCTCAAAAACCTGATGTGATAGACAAAAACTGATACCAGATTTGGAATCGGCACCCAAAAAGTAACAGTTGGAATACCTTATGCCAGAAAAGTGTGTTGACCAGTGCAATAGACTTATTGTTAGGGTGTAGGAGGCCAGCCAGCAGCTAGCCAGGAAACTCGAGGCATCGATTATTTTTAACCGTAGCGTGATTTAAATGACGTCCCTGCTGAAGGAACGTGTTCTGGTGACATGATTTCAAACAAGGCTCTCGAGTTTGATTAGCTCGGCTAATCTTTGTCGTCTAATTCATCGTCATGATCAGCCATAAGCTGGCCGGTTGTGGCTATGCACGTGGCCTGTAATCCAATACTGTGGAGGCAGCGAGAGGTTGGTGGAACACTGCGCAATTTTTTTCTCAACGCCCTTCCCATGCCAGGCAAGGTGGTTGCCCTACCGTCGCTCGCCAGGAGAAGGTGGCGCAGGAAAGTGCCGACGAATATCACCTGTCCATTGAGCAGGGAATCGAGTGTTGCCCCCTCGCACGCACTTGTGGGTTTCCTCCAGGTGCTCCCGTTTTCTCCCCACGTGTATAAACACTCAATAATTGTCTGAAAACATCTTCATGCCTCCGCACACACCTTTGCGTTTGCAAATTGTGCGGCGTTTGCAGATGCAGTTTTGCCTGAATGAGGCTGTGTGAAAGTATGTTAGTATTGTTATTAATTATGTAAAGCTGACATCTTCTGTGTGTGTGCTCTTATTCTCATTTGCAGGTCCAGCCCAGGTTCCCATGATGTCTCCCAATGGGTCCATACCTCCAATCCACGTGCCACCAGGCTACGTGTCGCAGGTGAGCCCCAGCACACAGCACTGACATTTCGGTTGTATTCCGGAGAACTCCGCTTATCCTGTTACCTGCAGGTGACTCGTCTCTTATCCTTGAACGTTTTACGGATAGCGGGATGATGCCCTTCCACCGTGCAGGGATGGGAAAACAAATTTGTATAACCGCGGGTGATATGAAGAACAGGGGTGCGAGTGATAGGAGTTTTTTGTGGACCGTATTGGACCGGCGGATCACAGGATCCGAGGGTAATATTGGTGTGGACAAGAGTTGTATTTGCACTCTTGTTTTCTCCCGTGCGTGACGATACTGAGAAGGTCCTGGTCAGGTATTTTGCAAAGCAGGATTCTCTCCACAGCTTGTTGTGAGACTCATCAAAGTTTTGCAGGACGAATTAATTGTATTATAATTGTTTTTGAAAATTGATTTTAAGTGGGTGTTTTATTTTTATGAAGCATGCTGGCTGTTTTGGTTAGGCTTTAAATAATTCTAGATTTGAAGCTTTCGTGACTGCAAAGATTCATATTCTTAGGTTTTTTCGGTTAAGTCACGTAAGTAAAACATCAAAATAAAATAAAAATCACGACGTTTCGGAGGCAACACAAGTCTCCGTCATCAGGTGGGACCGTCACAGCCGAATTAGCTGCATCACTTGATGCAGCTGATGACGGAGACTTGTGTTGCCTCCGAAACGTCGTGATTTTTATTTTTATTTTATTTTTATTTTGATGTTTTACTTACGTGACTTAACCGAAAAAACCTAAGAATAGGCTTTAAATACATGTAATTCTGACTTAAGTCGTCTTTAAAACACCACAATGTGAATACCATCGATTTGCATATGAATAATGCAGCTCAGCAGACCTTTGACAATCCACTGCTAGATGAAAGCCTTCCTTTTGCCGTGTTGGTTATCAGGGTTGTTTCAAGTTCAAGTTCATTCATTTGGTATAGTCCTGTGAGCCATTCGGCTATTGAATCGGGTGCAACCGCAACAAACAAAAAAACAAAAACATGAACAAGAAAACATCTTAATGTGACTATGTGCAAACAGAAAATCCAAGAAAAGACGGCAAAATATCACATAAAAAGCACTGTACACCAACCATACTTCTTCACCACGCTGGTCGGTGTGGGTTGGCGAGGAACAGTGCTTGGGGTGTCACTCACCACTGATGTTGGCCATGGCTGGGAATTGAAGTCGGATCTCCGACTTTGTCGTGCATTGTATGTATGTTGAACTTCTTTCACGCCATGCATAGCCAGCCGTGCTAAGCGGAGGTGCGCTAACCACTGTGCTGCACTCTTGAGAGCATATTAGCCATTGAATGTCAAATCAATTCTTGACTGTGACAATTAATCAATTAACCCTTTCGACGTACGTGTACACATTATCTGTTCATCTTCCTATTCCATTCCGATGACGCAATTAAAAACGAAACCGGAAGAAAACCCAAGACAAAGTGACTTTATCGGTACCGAGGCTCCTACAAGGCCATGCCGGAGAGCGTGTGGCACAGTTTGGCGCCAGCGATCGTAGAGCGCGGGTGTGTCGCTCCAGTTCTCGTCTTTAAAAACAACGGCGGCGCTACTAAGCCTCAAAATTAGAATAAACGCTGAACCACGTGCGCGTTCCGAGATTCGGCGGTGAACGGGACCCCACCCTGCAACTTGCAGACGTCTCAGAATGGGAAAGGGTTCAGTGGACTACTTTGTACGGCCAGCTGGTTAAGCGGTGAAGTGAAGTTCACAACCTGGTCGGGGGTTGACTCAAGCCATTGATAATCTGGGGTCTTTTCGATTTAAAGCTTTCGTGACTGCAGGGATTCATCTTCTTGGTTCTATCGGTAAAGTCACGTAGAAGGGAAGTAATAAAATAATAAAACATAATAAAATAATTCTCACGACGTTTCGGCCACAACGCAAGCTGTCTCCCCGACAGACCTGGTCTTCACCTGAGGACGGCTGCTTGCGTTGTGGCCGAAACGTCGTGAGAATTATTTTATTGTTTTATTTTTATTATTTTATTACTTCCCTTCTACGTGACTTTACCGAAAGAACCAAGAAGATGAACCTGGGGTCTATAAAACGAGTATCGGTTTTTGGGGGAATTCCACGGTGGTTGTCCTATGGGGAGACTCGCCGCTTCCCTGCCAGAAGAATGTGGAATTTCCACCACTGGTTCAAGGCCGCCATAAGCGAGTCATGATCACCAATGCATCAATGCTTATTTGACCTGACAATCACTTGAAGCTAGACTTGACCTTCGTGTCAGTCATGTGCAGGAGTGCACACACGGTTTATATATCATTGCATACAATGCAGCATGGAATGTGATGTACAGTAAAACCTCGTTATTTCGATATTTGATGATTCGTAATTGGGGGGATAATTCGGCAGCGCTGCGCTTTTGGCATATACTGTATATTAGTAATTCGCCATGTGACGAATTGTGGTACCGACTGGTCCAATTTCGGAATTTCAGCATGAATGTGGTGCGACGCCATGTGCCACATCCAAAACAATGACTCAAGATTTGAAGCTTTCGTGATTACAAGGATTCATACTCTCAGGTTTTTTCGGTAAAGTCACGTAGGTAAAAAGAAGAATAAATGATGAAAAATAACAAATCACATTATTTTATTTCTATAATAATTTTTACTATGTTTATTATTTATTATGTGTTTTACCTACGTGACTTTACTGAATAAACCTAAGAGTACAAAACAATGACTCGGTCCAGTGGCGGCGCGTGTGGTGTGCGTTGGTGCAGGCCCGTTGCTTTGTACTTTACCTTCTTTATGCACTCTGTGCAAGCCAACACTTTCAGAATTGTCGTCTACACCTCCATCAAGAAGTAATAGAAAGGGGTTCGAAGTATAAATCCCTTAGTCTGTGAGAATTGATGCAGGTGTGTCAATGTGTATCGTGTGTGAAGAGTTTGGAAAACAAATTGGGGGAAAAAAAATGTATTTGGACAGGAGGCACAGGGAAGTAGCATTGTACATCATTCGGAATATTGGATAATTTTGCAAAGGCCAGAACCCCATATGTGTTGCATTAACAAGTGTTTACTGTCTATGCACGATGTTTAAGTGTGTGTGTTGAGCACATGTAATGCACCTTATTCTCATGCACCGCAATCCACATCCACACGTACGACGCGCTGACAACTGCGGTAAGGAACACAAGTTTTATTGTTTAAAATAAACTCGCCCACTCCCGCCCAAAATGGCAATGTCCACCAAAGGGAGCTGCACCCGCTTGTGCGAGCGTGTGCTGGTCTCGGTGGGTGCATCGCTCCGTGTTGTCGGGCGAATCGTTCGCTACCAGACCACCTGGTATCGGGAGCGGTGTTCTCTTCTCATGTTAAAGTAAATCCGTTGGGGTCTTGATACCCGATCCACGGCGGGACGTCTCCAGCGTCACCGCGGGGACGCAGGGGACGCCGACGGCGCCGCGTGCGGCGCGGACGGGCAGAACACACCGGAGGACCAGCTCCGGCGAGCGCATCGTCGTCGTCGGCGGCGGCGGATTGTGGCGGAGTGACCGGTGGCGGTGGTCTCTGTCCGCGGCAACCATAGCGAGCGCTGGTAACCGGGGATGATGTAACGAGAGACATCAGGGAAGGGATGTCTCGCCGGCCAGCCTCGCGAGCGCTGGTCTTTGCTGGTGCTGGAGGGGTGGGCAGCAGTGGAGATGGGCTGAGATCGTTGAGTCTTTGAGCCCTGATCTCCACCGGCACTGGAGGGGTGGGCAGCAGTGGAGATGGGCTCAACTGGGTGGATTCTTGAGCCTCCATCTCCACCGGCACGAGAGTGGTGGGCAGCAGTGGAGATGGGCTCAACTGGGTGGTTTCTGGAGCCTCCATCTCCACCGGCACTGGAGGGGTGGGCAGCAGTGGAGATGGGCTCAACTGGGTGGGTTCTGGAGCCTCCATCTCCACCGGCACTGGAGGGGTGGGCGGCAGTGGAGATGGGCTATGTTGGCAGGCATCCTCGGCGCTGGTCTCCGCGGGTGCTGGGGGCGTGGGCAGGAGTGCAGGCTGGGGGACGTGGGCCCGGTTGCGGCCGCGTCTGCTGGCAGCGTTGCGTGCACGTCTTCTCCGGGCTGCAGCCGCCCGAAGAGCAGGGCCGAGGTCTCGTCTGTGACCTCTGACCCTGCCCACAATGGGCGCCGCCACCATCGTGGCCGTCTGCAATTCAGCACAAAACAAACAGGATTGAAGGTGTCTTCAATGGTAACAAAGATAAAGGTGTAAACCCTGAAACTGTCTGCTCAAGCCACCGCCAGTGGACGGGCCGACACTCTAGAGAACTCTAGAGAGAGCCTATTGTAAAGGGCATTTGGCCTACGTTACACTTTTGATCACTAAACAGTCCAATCGGTTGAATGGCTGGTGTAGCCATTTATGCTGCTGGGTGGATAGAGACTGGGAGGCATTTAAACCAACTTGCCCTCGGTTTCAACGAGAAACGCTGGGACACGGAATGGAACCCGGGAACTTCTGCATTGCAAGTGCAGTATATGGTAGCAAACATGTGATGAGCTGTCATCCTTTATATATATTTGTAATTTGTATTTAACGATAAGTGAGCCCGTTACAGCCTGCCGCGCATTTCGCAAATCCGGTGGGAGTCAACAGTCGCGGAGAAACCGTCTGATATAGGTGGCCAACGGCGTTTGAATCGGTCATTAACCTTCACCTTTCGAAGACCAGCTCGGACTAACCACCTTGGTGAAGTATGGTCAACACGGCATGGAGGGAGGACAACAACAACTTAGATACATTTTCGATGTAAAGCTTTCGTGACTGCAGGGATTCATCTTCTTGGTTCTTTTGGTAAAGTCACGTAGAATGGAAATAATAAAATAATAAAAATAAAACGTAAAATAATTCTCACGACGTTTCGGCCACAACGCAAGCAGCCGTCCTCAGGTGAAGAACAGGTCTGTCGAGAAGACAGAGTCTGAACTTAGATTAAGGCCATCAGTCTTACAACAAACAAACATGACCAATATTCTTAGGTTTTTTCGGTAAAGTCACGTAGGTAAAAAATTAAAATTAATAAAAGTAAAATAAAAATCACGACGTTTCGGAGGCAACACAAACTTCCGTCTTCAGGTGGAACCGTCACAGCCCGACAGCTGTATCAAGTAAATGAGAGATTACAAGAGCTACCACTCCGTATATATAATGGTTGAAGGGGGCAGGGCCAGGAACGGCACACTTTTTATTAATATGGTAAGGTGAGGCTTAAGACTAAGAATAGACTGCATAACAAATGACTGAGCCTTTGTTATGGAGAGGTGCGGTTTGTGACTAAGTCTGGCCAACATGACAAAAGTGTGAAAAAAGAAAGCTAAACCTGGTAAAACAGAACTGGCTGTCCATCAGTAACCTGTATTAGTTGTCTGTTCCACCTGAAGACGGAAGCTTGTGTTGCCTCCGAAACGTCGTGATTTTTATTTTAATTTTACTTTTATTAATTTTAATTTTTTACCTACGTGACTTTACCAAAAAAATCTAAGAATATGAATCCTTGCAGTCACGAAAGCTTCAAGTCTAGAAACATGACCAAACCAAAAAAACTTTTCGATCTCCGTAACGCGCGCTTCTAATCGCTCGCTCGCTCGTTCACCTTGCGACGCACGGAGAACCACAGTTGCACGAGGGTGATGACGACGTGGTACAGAACGTTGAGGCCGCCGTCGGAGTAGGAGGTTTCCACTTTGGCGCAGGGTGGGAGTCTGCCGAAGGGACGTTGAGCCGGGACGCTGCGGGAGACGGCCGAGGTGGCCTCGGCGGTTCTGTTGGGACAGCAGCAGACGGACAACGTCGACAACGTCAGACGGTGGGGGGGGGGGCACTGCTACGTAGAGGGGGGGGGGGTGGTGGCTCTGCTACGTAGAGGGGGGGGTGGTGGCTCTGCTACGTAGAGGGGGGGGGTGGGGGCCCTGCTACGTAGAGGGGGGGGGGGTGGTGGCCCTGCTACGTAGAGGGGGGGGGGTGGTGGCCCTGCTACGTAGAGGGGGGGGGGGGGTGGTGGCTCTGCTACGTAGAGGGGGGGGGGTGGTGGCTCTGCTACGTAGAGGGGGGGGGTTGGTGGCCCTGCTACGTAGAGGGGGGGGGGGGTGGTGGCCCTGCTACGTAGAGGGGGGGGGTGGTGGCGCTGCTACGTAGAGGGGGGGGGGGTGGTGGCTCTGCTACGTAGAGGGGGGGGGGTTGGTGGCCCTGCTACGTAGAGGGGGGGGGGGGTGGTGGCCCTGCTACGTAGAGGGGGGGGGGTGGTGGCGCTGCTACGTAGAGGGGGGGGGGGGTTGGTGGCCCTGCTACGTAGAGGGGGGGGGGGTGGTGGCCCTGCTACGTAGAGGGGGGGGGGGTGGTGGCGCTGCTACGTAGAGGGGGGGGGTTGGTGGCCCTGCTACGTAGAGGGGGGGGGGGTGGTGGCCCTGCTACGTAGAGGGGGGGGGGTGGTGGCCCTGCTACGTAGAGGGGGGGGGGGTGGTGGCCCTGCTACGTAGAGGGGGGGGGGTGGTGGCCCTGCTACGTAGAGAGGGGGGGGGGGTGGTGGCCCTGCTACGTAGAGGGGGGGGGGGTGGTGGCGCTGCTACGTAGAGGGGGGGGGGTGGTGGCGCTGCTACGTAGAGGGGGGGGGGGGGGGTGGTGGCGCTACTACGTAGAGGGGGGGGGGTGGTGGCGCTGCTACGTAGAGGGGGGGGTGGTGGCACTGCTACGTAGAGGGGGGGTGGTGGCACTGCTACGTAGAGGGGGGGGGGGGGGTGGTGGCGCTGCTACGTAGAGGGGGGGGGGGTTGGTGGCACTGCTACGTAGAGGGGGGGGGGGTGGTGGCACTGCTACGTAGAGGGGGGGGGGGTTGGTGGCGCTGCTACGTAGAGGGGGGGGGGGTGGTGGCACTGCTACGTAGAGGGGGGGGGGTGGTGGCACTGCTACGTAGAGGGGGGGGGGTTGGTGGCGCTGCTACGTAGAGGGGAGGGGGTGGTGGTGGCCCTGCTACGTAGAGGGGGGGGGTGGCCCTGCTACGTAGAGGGGGGGGGGGCACTGCTACGTAGAGGGGGGGGGGGGCTCTGCTACGTAGAGGGGGGGGGGCCTGCTACGTAGAGGGGGGGGGCACTGCTACGTGGGGGGGGGGCTCTGCTACGTAGAGGAGGGGGGGCACTGCTACGTAGAGGGGGGGGGGGGCTCTGCTACGTAGAGGAGGGGGGCACTGCTACGTAGAGGGGGGGGGGGCGCTGCTACGTAGAGGGGGGGGGCACTGCTACGTACCTGGCGTGTCCACCGCTGGGGCGGGTGCGCGCGTGCGACGCTGCGGGGCTGACGTCAAACGCGACGGCGTCTTCGCTGCTGTTTTGGAGAGATGATTGGTTGTGGTGGTTGTTGTTGTTGTTGATCATCAACTCGTAGAAGGTTGTTGTTGAGTTATCGATCGTGGACATTCTTGGCTGATCCCCACGATGGATTAGGAGGATGCCCAGAAGCCACAAAACGTTTTTGACGCAACTCGCCATGTTGACAATTATATTTCTTTAGTTTGTTTTTAACAAAACAAAATAAAAATCTCTCTCCAACGACGTCAAAGTTCGCGGCCGTCGTCTCGATGCGCCTCCCCTGGCGAGCGACGGGGAGAAACACGTGGGTCCCGCGTGACGTCAGCGCGTGACGACAGCCAATGATTACGACGTCACGAGCACGTGGCGCACGTGACCACGTGGGGTGGTGGTGGGGCGGTTTGAATGGCGTTGAACAGAAATAGTTTACGGGTCACGATGGGGATGGACTTGTCCCCGTCGTACGAACGTGGAGATGCCATCACTTACTCCAGGGCCTGTAAACTGATGAGATGAACACCGCCTCATGTTGTTTGTTTGTTTGATGTTTACCAGATAAGTTTACAATAGCTTGTTTTTTACACATGTAGGGTCCTATCAAAATAAACTTTACTTAAAATAAAATTTCGATTTAAAGCTTTCGTGACTGCAGAGATTAAAAAATTTTAAGTAAACATCTTCTTGGTTCTTTCGGTAAAGTCACGTGACTTTAGCGAAAGAACCAAGAAGATGTTTACTTAAAAAAATTTAAAGTTTATAAATCGTCAAATTTTCATGGAAATGAAGTAATTTCAATAGTGTGAAATGTGCATGTAAGTTATCATTATGTGTATACATTTCCATCTGAATTGTACATTTACATATCATGTTTGAAGACTCTTAATTTAAGTATTTAACCCTCGGTGGCTCAGTAAGCAAGACCCATGCTAAACTTAGTACAGTGCCGCTGTGTGTGTAAGCTCACACCGGTTGTTAAATGGATGGACTTAACCCCGTCATACGATTGTGGAATTTCAATCGGTGGACTGCAGGGCCAGGAGATGAACACCAACTCTGATGCTTCATTTGCGCAGCAAATCACCTTTACTTAGAATAAGAGTATACTGGACTGTCATCGAATTAATCTTTAACAAATGAGCGGTTCTTCTACTCCATAAAGTTACCCCCTGCTCACTCAAGAGCCCCCCGTGTTTTCACTGCACCTTGGAGTGAGCTCTTGGTAGAGTTTTAACCACGAGCTAAAGTTAGCAAAAGTTATAAGCGCAAACAGTATTTTCTAGATTTGAAGTTTTCGTAACTGCAAGGATCCCATACTCTTTGGTTCTTTCGGTAAAGTTACGTAGGTGAAAATAAAATAAAATGAAAACTAAATACAATTTTAAATAAAATGAAAACGACTAAATACAATTTTAAATAAAATGAAAACAACTAAATACAATTTTAAATAAAATAAAATGAAAACAACTAAATTAAATTTTAATGAAATTAAATGAAAACTACATTTAATTTTAAATAAAATGAAAACAACTAAATTTAATTTTAAATAAAATAAAATGAAAACAACTGAATTTAATGTAGTTGTTTTAATTTTAAATTAAATTAAGTTTTTATTTTCACCTACGTGACTTTACCGGAAGAGCCAGAGCACTAACAGTATGTACTTGACGCACCACACTGACACAATGAACACCTCGCTGGCTCTTGACTCTGCCTCTCTCTTTCCCTCCCCCCACCTCCTATCGCGGTGCGTGTGGTCATTAAAGAAAAATAATTAACTCGCGGTTACTGTACAATTAGTTTTGTCCTATAAAATATCCACGTGCCGATGAGACCGGCCACTCCGTTGAGCTACTAATTATCATTTGTGAGAAGCCGAGTCGCTTCTGAAGAAAAGCCACGATATTAGTGGCTCACTGGGGTCCTTAACTGGGAAAATAAAATGTTTATCCTCTTACGTTTTTTCGGTAAAGTCACGTAGGTAAAAAATAAATAATAAAAATAATAGAAATAATAATAGTGTATCGTTTAGTTTGCACGTGTGCGTGTGTGTAGCGTTGACGACTTGGGGGTTATTGGATCTCTAAACAAAAACAACATTCGTTATCTAACAATTAACGCAAGCCACCGATTCTGTTCAACAATTGCTGCACTCATTTTTGTCTCATCTCTGCTTGTGTCCACGTGGGCTCTGTAACTCTGCGATTAGCACGGTTGACTACGTACGGTGCGAAAGAAGTTTAACACGCACACGGTTGCGTCTGCGTTTGAACTGTGGGTGGGTTGGCTTGGTGGATGTCCATGCGTGGGCAGGCGAGTGCGGGTTTTGGTGTTTTTAGTACACTTGCCTCAAGGTGCACCTAGCCTGGCACAAGCGCCGTGGTTAACGTCTCACGCCAACTTAGTCGTGAAAGGCGGCGGCTGTTGTTGTTGTTTCTAGGCACTGGTTGTTGAGCTGTCAATGAAACGCTCTACAAAGACAAAGATCCCCCGTGTAGCCTTTACAGACTTTGGGGCAAGTGCTGTAAGTGAGCATCTGCGAAAGCCGGCGCTGTGGCACACGAGGGCGTGGTGGCCAGTACCATGCCCGACCGCCTTTGTCTCCCTCGTGGTACACGAGGGCGTGGTGGCCAGTACTACGCCCGACCGCCTTTGTCTCCCTCTTGGCGGTGTGGCCATTACGGTATAAGGCCATCAATAATTCACCTGCACAGTTAATCGGCTTAAATGCTAATTTTGCTCGGGGGGGGGGGGGGGGGGGGGGTAAAATATAGAAAAAACCCACTTAGAATGAACAATAAGAAACGGATGTTTATTTTATTATTTCACCCCAGGAGAGCCTCACAGTTACTGGCCTTGTTCAGGAGGGGCTCTGCAATATTTTCGTCCAATGTTGTTGCTGTGTAATCCCAATTTAACAAATTTTAAGGGATTTGATTCAGGCTTGTACGGTAACTACCAGAGGTGGGACAAAGTCATTGTTATGCAAGTCCAAGTCGAGTCTGAAGTCATCAAATTCATGACTCGAGTCTGACTCGAGTCCAAGTCACATGACTCGAGTCCACACCTCAGAGGTGGGACAAAGTCATTGTTATGCAAGTCCAAGTCGAGTCTGAAGTCATCAAATTCATGACTCGAGTCTGACTCGAGTCCAAGTCACATGACTCGAGTCCACACCTCAGAGGTGGGACAAAGTCATTGTTATGCAAGTCCAAGTCGAGTCTGAAGTCATCAAATTCATGACTCGAGTCTGACTCGAGTCCAAGTCACATGACTCGAGTCCACACCTCAGGTAACTACTGTACAGTTGTAACAGAGGCACACACGTAGAGGCACTCCACACAGGTCACACCTGAGTCTGGAATCGAACCCAGGTGGATTGTGTGGTGTCTGTGATGAACAACAAGTGATTAGCCCGCTGTATTCGCCACCCTTAATTCAAACTGGTGTCGCGATCAAATGAATTGATTTTGGCTCTGAAAATGGGAGGGGGGTCAAACAAACATCCCCCGGAGTGAATCTTCTGCTGGATAAATCCAGAAACTGCCCCCCCCCCCCTCCCGTCATGGCCCTCTCGCATTAGTCGCCGATTAATCGGCTCAATCGAGCAAATTGTCCAGACTCACAATTTCAGTTGTGAATGCAAAACCAAGTGAAAATATCAATCGTGATAAACTCGAGATGTCTCGTCATCCTATCGATTCATGCGAATCGTCGCCATTCGGCGATTCAGTTTTGTTGCGATTTAGATTCCAGAATGAAGATTTCAGAATGTATTTTATCATTGTGGTGTGCGAGCGTTGTGTGAGGACGGGGTGGGTTGGTTAACATGGACCCATTGCGTATATGACGGTAACCGAGTACGTGTGGTTAATGCAGTTACTTGATTCCTTGCAAAAGGTTTCAATTTGGTGTTTGTACGTCTTAACACAACTCCTGTTTTATTGCCAGAAAGGGTAAAAAGCTATCGTTGTGTTTTAATACTTTTTAGTGTTCAAGTTCATTTATTAGGTATAGCCCTGTGAGCCATTCGGCTCTTGAATCGGGTGCAACCGCAACAAACAAAACATGAACAAGAAAACATCTTAAAGTGACTATGTGCAAACAGAAAATCCAAGAAAAGACCGCAAAATATTGCAGAAAAAGCACCGTACACCAACACTGTGTGCAAAAATCCCAGTGGGATGCAAGTCAAACAACAACAACCACAAGACAACTTAGATTAAGGCCATCAGTCTAACTCTGAACTACAACAAACAAAACATGGCCAAACCGAAAAACTTTTCAAAAATCACCAAAATAAAGTCATAAAAGCAATGAAACAGTGATCATAGGAACTGTGACCGAATTTTCACAATAAACGACGTTAACAACATGTACCACCAAACTCTGCAGCCATAGCTGGCTGCATGAGTCACATTTTCGTCACTACACTGATACTGGCAAATAGGTCCCATTTTATAATGGTGACCGGTTCGCAGATGTCGCACCGCCGATGGTGTTATGCCGTGAATGGAAACCGAACTCGGGTAGCGATATTGATAGTCAGAGTCAGAATATGTATGTATGCTGGAGGAATCCGATTAGCTACAGAGCTGTTTTTCACAAATGTTCAGTAGGGGAGAGTCAGAAAGTTACAACCTATAAAACTATATAAAACTACGATAGGAGTGCAAAGTATAGGAAAGATAAGAAAATCACTAAATATATCTAAATAATAACAAGTATAACCTGTAAAAAACTAAGTTTTTCACTATAAATCCTTTATATGCGTGGCGGCTAGAGTCCTCTCGTCCTCTGGCTTGAGATGGCTGCCACCTATGGGTCAGATGATTGTCTGCCAGTATTAAGCAATTGGTAATTAAATATTTAATTTGTTTTCCCTAAACAGTGTAAAATTTTGGGAAAAAACAAACATTAATTGTCTCGCACAACGAGTCTGTGTGCAAAATGTCAGCTCGATTGGATCACGGGAAGTGGGTTAAAAAACGACCGAAAGATTTGCACAGTCGTAAGCAAGCACGCAAGCACGCAAGCAAGCAAGCAAGCGAACTTAATATAAAGGATTTAAAAAAAAAACTATATTTTCTTTTACCAGGTAAAGCCCACTGAGCCACAAATGAAAGTTCAACAAAGTGGCTTATGTAAAAATGTATAGCTGTCAAATAATAAAAATAATCTAGTGCAATGCGCTAACCACTGTGCCACCACTCCCAGCGTCGGAGTCTGGGGAGAAATATAATCCTAACAGCTTTCCGAAACATTATTAAACATTCTTGGTTCTTTCGGTAAAGTCATGTAGAAGGGGAAAAAAAAAATTCTTGCCGTGGTTTTCACACCTAATGATGATTGTTTGTGTTGCAATCGAAACGTCGTGAGAATTGTATTTTGATTATTTTATTGTTTTTTCCCTGCAGTCACGAAAGCTTTAAATCGAACATTATTAAACATGCTTTTAAAAGATATACATGTGACATAAATAATACCAGTTCAAAAACGTATCTTCATAAATGGACCCTACAAATGTAAGCAACGTTATTCAAAACTGATTATAAGGATATTAATGATTTACTGTACAGCTTGTAATGCAATGCAGCAAACGTGTTAATAATTTATGAGAAATGTAACTAATTTTGGTGAAATTGAGTAGTTTTTTTTGTTCAGGAGGTGGTGTCATTAACATGTTACCATTTTGGAGAAAATATAATTAACATGCCTTCTTGCTATTATATAATATACTGTTATTTCATACGTATGTTTTTCTGACTTTTGTTTAAAGTTGTTTTCTTATACTCTACGACGCTCTGATACCTCTCTGCGGCCTCTTGCGCTTCACGCATTTTCTAAAGTACCTAAATAATAAATAAGATTAATTAAGTAAGAAATGTATTGAACTGATGGTCATGTCTCGTTTAAACATTAATATTGTTTGAGTAAAATAACTTAATAATGAGAATGAAACTGCCAAACCACCGGGAGGCGTTGATGCGGTCTCGCGGTTGTGCGTTTGCTCATTGCAGAGGTTCTGTGGTTCGCATCCATCGGCTGCCCCGCTTAAATACTGTGGAATACGAACCATAAAACTACCAATTCTAGATTTGAAGCTTTCGAGACTGCAAGGATTCATATTCTTAGGTTTTTTCGGTAAAGTCACGTAGGGAAAAAATAAAAATTAATAAAAGTAAAATAAAAATAAAAATCACGACGTTTCGGAGGCAACACAAGCTTCTTTCGTCTTCAGGTGGAACCGTCACAGCACGATAACTACCACGCGCCGTTTCCTTCACTCGCAGCAGATGTTAAAGATCCGGTGACATCACGAGCAAGAGTTTGGCCCTTGCAAAGTGTCGTCTTGGTCCCAATTTGCCGCGTTTAGAAAGTTACTCGCAAATTACTCGGTTGTAATCTGCATAGGAAACATCTCACTTCCCCACCACTGCATCAAAAAATTTAATACCTAAATTGAAATCTGTATATTCCAGTCTGAGACATCTCGCCTTCATCTAGCTCAGGGGTGGGGAACGTCATTTGGTCTGTTCCAATAACCACATTTGGGGTGAGTTGATTAAATGTTTGACCAAATATAACAGGCTAAATTTTAAGTTGATAATTTTGTACGGCCCTGGTCACCAAGCTAACAACATTGAGCGAGTAAATGCTGAAATTTCCAGAAAGCGATCCAAGTCTCGCCAAATTAAAACGAGAGGGCGCACAGCAACCCATGTGGTGACTGGCTTGGTGAAATATGGTTAAACGTCCTCCTGGACCAAACGTGGCTTGTGGAGTAGATAAACAAAAGGGTCTGCTAAGCTGCGCTGTTCATATTGAACCAGTGCTGTTCATATTGAACCAGTGCTGTTCAATTGAAATCGATGCTCATTACATTTCGGGTTTTGAAGACTTAAGGCTGAAGTCATTTCTTTTATTTTTATGTAACTTAATCAAAACAGACAGCACATTTCATTAAAACACCCGTTATTGCCTTTATTATCATATAGGCCCTCAATTGCTTCAGTTACTAGACCGTGTGTGAACCTTAGTCTTTGAATGCAATTTACTTGAGGGGGAGAGTTGGGGCTGTGGTTTGATCCTGACGGATGTGGGTAACTGTGGTTGACCTTTCTGCCATTTCTCTCTCCTATCTCCCCTCTCCATCCTCCCCCACTCACCTACTCGCCCCCAAACCCACGCTCACCCACAAACTCACTCACTAACTCGCTCGCCCACCCGCTCGCCTACCCACACGCTCACTCGACCACTCAACTATCCACATTCATCCACGCACTCATCCACCCACCCACTCACTCACTCGCTCGCCCAACCGCTCGCCCACCCGCTCGCCCACCCGCTCGCCTACCCACACGCTCACTCGACCACTCGACTATCCACATTCACCCGCACACTCATCCATCCACCCACTCACTCACCGGCCCACTCACTAACCGCTCGCCCACCCGCTCGCCCACCCGCTCGCCCACCCGCTCGCCTACCCACACGCTCACTCGACCACTCGACTATCCACATTCACCCACACACTCACCGGCCCACTCACTCACTCACTCAACCACCCACTCCACCTCCTCCAAACCGCCACGACACTTTCCCCCCTCCACTTCCCCTCCGAAACGCAGGTGATCGAAGACAATGGCGTGCGGAGGGTGGTGGTGACACCGCAGTCCCACGAATTCCACCCGCACGGCCACCCCAGCCTGCCCCCCCCGCACATGCATCCGCACTACATGCACCACCCGCCGGCGCACCTCATCCCGCACCCCCAGCACATGTACGCGCAGGTCGCGGAGGTGCCACCACAGTACCTCGCCCAGCCGCTGCCCCCGCAGGTCTACGAACCAGGTGACGACGACGATAATAATGACAACGTTCAATTTAGATGAGAAGTTTTCGTGATTGCAGGGATCCACATACTCTTTGGTTCTTTCGGTAAAGTCACGTAGGTAGAAACATAAAACAAAAAATAATCTATCACGACGTTTTGATCACAACACGAGCAAATCATCTTCAGATGGGAAAACCACATCAATAAATTATTTTGCTAAAAGAAATTTGCTAACATTTTTTCTTGCTGTGGTTTTCCCACCTGATGATGATTGCTTGTGTTGCAATCAAAACTTCGTGATTTAATTCATTTTATTTTATACCTACGTGACTTTACCGAAAGAACCAAAGAATAACAACGTCAATCCGTGTTTTTTTTTGTATTTAAGTACGGCTCTTAACACGTAGTACACTATCGCAATCAATATTATTCGTAATAATATATATTGTTTTGGGGTTAGTTCGCGCCAGGAGATGGAACTGAACCGGTGACCTCTAGCAGGTCGAGTCCGCTTGACCGTTGCACCATCGCGTCTTGGCAGCATTGGCTGCTGTGTTGAGGGGAGAGGGGGTCATCGTTATCTGTGGTCGCGTGGATTTTTTTCCGGGTATTCTGGTTTATCCTACCACATTTAGAATCGACGTGCATTTAGAGTATTTGTCTGCTATAAATGTCCAAGCAGGGGCGGTTTCTTCATTAGGGCGATTGGGCGACGCACCACCAATGTCATTCAACCACAGAGTCACGCTAGCCGTCACTGTCAGCCTCTGGATATAGTCCAATCAGCGTCATGCTACGTTCTGTGGAGTACCGCCTCTTTTTGGGCGATTTCCCTCCAGCTGAGAATCGCCCCGAGTGGTCCCATAGACTTACATTCAAAGATGTTTTTTTTCGAACGGGGGCGCTGCAATGCATTCTCTATGGCTTCCGGGAGGGCTCGCCCTAACGTGCTTACGTCATCATACGTGCTTACGTCATCATACGTAAGCACGTTTCATCCAACAATATAATTTGTCGCCACCTAGTGGAATCTTTAATAAAAGAAACTTGAGTGGTTTGTTTTAATAGTATAGAAACAAACAAGATGTATTGTAAGAGTCACTTTATTTTTCATTAATATTAAAGAAGTGAAGTTGCCTTTACATGCTTAAGCTGTTAATTTATCCATTGCATGGGTGGACCTTATCCTTATCAATCATCCAGACATTTGCCCCCCCTGAAAGATTTTGCAGGAGCCGCCACTGTGTCCAACCGATAAGCCACTTTCGTTGAGCTATCATTTCTGGCCTGGTTGCTTCTGAAAAGCAGCGATATAGCTCCGTGGGCCTTACCTGTTAAAATAAAAAAAATAGCTGCATTCACCTACGCTTCCTTTAATCTTCCGCGGACTGCCGCAGACTCGGCGGGGCCTCACGGGCGGCAGAGCTATGCGTACCGCGACGAGCGCGCCAGCAAGACGCACGAGCGTCTGCAGAAGAAGCTGAAGGAGCGGCACCACCAGGGCGAGTGGCACAGCCGCGAGCGCGCCGACACGGCCGGCGGCAGCCCCGTCGCGTCGCCACGCAAGAGCCAGACCGCCTCGCCCGACGGCTCTCCGTCCCCGACCTCGTCTGCCACCGCGACGGCGGTGCCGGGGCCGCCGCCGCTGCTGCTGCACAACGGCCACAAGAGCGGTGGCGGTGGCGGCAGCCCCTCGGCCACCTCCTCCGGCTACTCCAGCTCGCTGTCGGCGTCGCCCTCCTCCTCCGGGTCCGGCAAGCGAGGCGCGGAAGAATGCCGGTCGTGCGGCACGCAGGCCGACGAGAGGGACGCGGCAGGTAAACGCCCCCCCCCCACCCACCCACCCACCCCTCCAGCTGGAGTTTGTTTGTGTACGGCGAGTGGGGGGAGTGGGGCGGGGAGTGCAGGCTACCGACCTGGTTAGTTTTCCTGTTCGTGAATGTTGCCAATACTTGCTTTGGTTTTTAACGAAAGCGTGAAATTTGCTGGGATTTTAGGTGATTGTGCTACTGGTGTAGGTTTTCACGATTAGGCCGCGTACTGTGTTCAGCTCCTGGAACGTTCGCCAGTTGAACGGTCAGTTGCTGAAGAAGCTCCCAGCACATCGTGCTGAACAACATACGGTACAACTCGACACGTCGGAGCCATCGCAACGTTTATTTAAAATCTTTTTTGTAAGTGGGTGGGTGGATAGATGAGTGAGTGAGTGTGTTGTCACCTGCAGTGTGGCGAGTGAGTGAGTAACTAGGTGGATGAGTTGAGGGTGTTGTTGTGACCAGGAGAGAGTGGTTGAACATAGCATGGGTGAAACAACATGGTCAGTCTGGTGAACCGAGGTGGAGGAACCAAATTAGAATGGTAACCACGGTGGTAACGATAGATGTATGTATGTTGGGCTTCTTTCGCACCTTATGTCACCGACCGTGCTAATTGGAGGTGCGGGGGAAGGACAACCAATTAAATGCAAAAAGCAGTTCAAAAGAAATTAGTTTTCAATCTAGATTTAAAAGTGCCTATCTCCGACACCTTCCTAATATCGGATTGAAGGGCGTTCCAGACGGCCGCGGAAGCACATCTGGAAACGCGCGATGCTGGCAAAAAGCCAAATCGGAGGATGACCGGAGGTCCGCGTGATGGTTTTATGCAAACTAGCACATAATCCTTATCAAAAGACTGATAGGGAGGCGACAGACTGCCTATGAGCGAGTGTCTGGGTGTCTGGAGCGAGAGAGGGATCTGTGAGATATTTGTTTTAAGGGCATAGCTTTTTTTTTCCTCGTCTCAGTTGCTACCCCTCAGGGCGGGGGAGGTGGAGAGTTTGCCTTCAACAGCGAGATGTGAAATGGTTGAGAGTGCGGTGGTGGCTGCCTTGGCATAAGCAGCAGGGGCCTTGGAGCGTGCACCACTCGGCAAAGGGCACGCCGACCTACGGCTTGTCAAGGTCGTTTGACATCGAAATGCTTTCTTGACGTTTTTGACATTCACGAAGCAAGAGAGGCCCCCCCCCCCCCCCCCCCCCATGCGTTAAAAAGATTTTGAGAAGGCGCCTTGACCTGTTGCTTTTCTTTTTGTTCATACCTTGTGATAGAGTAATAATGATAACAATAATAACACGACTGATTTTTTTTTTGTGTTACGGGAAAGCCTCATCGAGTCTCCAAACCAACTGACGGTTATTACTTTGGCCAAGTCAATTTCAAGGACAGTGCATACATTATCAGAGTTATGTTTTTGTTTGCATTCCGACTGCAGGTATTGTGGTCAGTGCAAACATGACTCCTTGTAAAAAAAGGTTTCAGTTTTGTTGCCAAAAAGAATGGTAAAAAAACAATTGTCGGTTATTACTTTGCCGTGCCGTCTTAATTACAGACGGTTCTGGCAGTCGCGAAGACTTGGGCGTGTGCGGTGTGCTTGTGTAATTGAACGCCTTGTTGCGGACGGTGAAGATTGCACAGATGAGAGCGTCTTAATGAGACAGATGATAGATTTTAGAGTTGTTATCACCTCTACGCATCGTGGCAAATTGTCTCAATTGTTATGGGATAATTGGGGGGTGGTTGAGGGAAATTTCCAGAAGCCTATTTAATCCAGTGGGGCTATGCTAATGCCTGCTAAACATTTTAATGGCCTTAATTGTCTGGGGGTTTGTCCAACCTTGGAAGGAAATGTAATTTCCCACTTCCCTATTGGTGTAAGGTTTATATTTAAAATATTTGAACGGTTGTACATTGCACCCGTTTAAACTGCGCAACACCCAGTCTATGGAATTCTGTCTCCATTAAGGACAGGAACTCGGTTCCTGACGGGCGGCCACGCTGGTGAAATGTTAATTGCCTCGCCTGTTTTGCAGGAGGTTGTGGTTTCGATCCCAACCTTTACGCCTGTATATTTAGAGTTTGCATGTCTCTCTCTCTCCCCGTGGTTGTGTACATTTTTCTCCGGCTCCAGTTTTTCCCCTCCACATTTGGAATCAATGTGCATTTTAGATTATTTGGCCACTATAAATTTACACACTATGATAAGCCACTTCGTTGAGCTTTAATTTGTGGCCAGGTCACTTCTGAAAAATATCCACATAGCTCAGTGGGCCTTACCTGGTAAAATAGTTGATCGTTTTTTTGTTGATGGAGACTTTTAAGTTCTGGCTTAAGAACCCCGGAGTTTTCATCCAGTGGAGACCTTTCCGCTCGCAGTGGCACGACCATGCAATTGCAGGGCTGCACCTTTACCTATAACAGCTCTTTCGCTAGGTCGGGGGTCGGCAGCCAAAATTACAAGAGGCATTTTTGTTTTCGAATTCTGTAAAAAAAAATTCTATATTTTAAGAGCCCCCCCCCCCCCCCCCCAATCACGTGGTGAATACGGAGACGGTGGGTCCTGAATATATAACGATCACGAAGCAGTCATCAAGAGCCGCGCGAGGTTCCGGAGCCACAGGTTGCTGACCCCTGCGCTAGGTCGTCCTTAAAAAAATGATGGCCGATGAGTAAGCGCCATGCTGCTGTGTTTAGTGGGTTGTGACCGCCATGGCTGGACTTTTATACGATTCTGAGTCATTCTCATAACCTCTGTGCAATGACTTCAGTGGGATGTTTCTTATGAACAGGAGGGATTAAAAAAAAAAATTCTTCCCTCTCCTCTATTAAATTAACATGCCTGGGAATGAAACTGCTCATTAGCGGGCAGTCGTTGAGTGGGAGAGCAGACGTTGAAGTGCTCTGAGGCTTTTGCCGTTTTTAATTCGGCCTCGGCAGACGCTCACAATTGTTTCCAGAGCCGATAGACGGGGCGGCCGTTTTGTTGTTCTCTGAAACGCTCGGCAAATGCTTTGGTGCATTAAGATCAATCCGTACGTGCCCGTAGAGCGAACAAAAATTTGAGGCTAAGAGTCGATTATCGCTTTAGGCAAAGCGCATGCGGGTTCAAAACATGCTAATCTGGGCCAAGCACAAATACACACAAACCCACAGGATAGAATTATGGCAAATTGCCTCTTATAATCCAGAGAATAGGGTCCCCACTTTGTTGAAAGTCAACAGTGGTTGGCCAATAGATAGAGACTCCTGCTCACAGGCAGGTGGAGGTTTCCACACTCTGGGGGCTTTGAGCGGTTCTTTCGGTAAAGTCACGCAGAATGGAAATAATAAAAATAAAACATAATAAAATAATTCTCACGACGTTTCGGCCACAACGCAAGCAGCCGTCCTCAGGTGGAGAACAGATCTGTCGAGAAGACAGAGTCTGAATGACACACTTTTGCATATCAATATGCAAATTATTTTGTCAAGGCGCTCTTCCCCCCTCCATCCCAGCTTAAATAGACGCTCCAAGCCTGGGGTGTGTCATTCAGACTCTGTCTTCTCGACAAACCTGTTCTCCACCTGAGGACAGCTGCTTGCGTTGTGGCCGAAACGTCGTGAGAATTATTTTATTATGTTTTATTTTTATTATTTTATTATTTCCATTCTACGTGACTTTGCCGAAAGAACCAAGAAGATGAATCCCTGCAGTCACGAAAGAAGTTTTAAATCGAAATACTACCATGCGGTCGTTTGAATGGGATCCCACTCTCCGTTGACTTCGAAGTTTGGCTTAGAATCTCATAAAGCGAGCACAGGGACGTGCCTCATTGTGTCGCCTCCCCCACCAAACCCAGCCAAAAGAAAAATCTGGAAGCAAATATCCCCCGCCTGCGATACACTTGAACTTTTTTCAAAGTGGGCAGAATGCGGAATGATTGACCTCTTGCGTAAGCGGTGACCTTTCAGATGTGCCACTTGCTGATCCCACCGAGAGACAAAGCGGCCGTGTGTGCACGCGCGTCAGAGGTCGCAAACGGGTTTTGATTCCTTACCCGTGCCCGTACCCGGCCGCACCAGGGTCGCAAATGGGTTCCCGTACCCTACCCGAAATGAGTGACAAACGGTTACTCACCAGTGACTCACGGCCTACCCGTACCCGGCCGCACCAGTGTCGCAAACGGCTACCCGTACCCGGCCGCACCAGGGTCGCAAACGGCTACCCGTACCCGGCCAGGTACGGGTAGCCGGGTATTGGGTAGGGTACGGGTATCGGGTACCCGGTTGCGACCTCTGACGCGCGTTCTTGGTTGGCCCCCGCTTGCCGCTAGAATGATGGGCCGAGGCCGTCATTGAACGGCGGGTAACTTTCCGAGCGTTCGTTAACGGCGGGCGATAACGAAGCGTAGCGGACGAGAGGTGCGAGTAGTGCCACCCTGGGATATGTTTTGAGGATGCATTGGCACTTGCTCGCCTCTCTCTGTTGTTCGTATCGGTCGGATACATCCACTGGATGTAAAAAAAAAAGTGGTGTAGAACCGCATGTAAGCGTAGGCCCCCCTCCCCCGAGTATTTTCCGCAGAATCTGGCACGGGTTGTCGCGTAAGTGGCGGAACAAGTCCCAATTCACGAATGATCACGAGTCTGGACTTTTCTATTTTTCTGGTGGGTTATGCACTTGATTTTAAGGTGGTTCGAGGATAACGAGCACTGTTTGTTCCGTCGAGGTAATGCAAATCGGGATTATAATTTGGTTCAAGAATCAATATTTATGTTTTTATAACAGTGCAGTGAATCGCTGAAGGAGACCACATGAACTAATTCCGTGCAAAAAATATATGAACCTTAGGGCGGTACCCCGGGGTGCCATAGTATCCCGTTTCTCGCACAATGTCCGTGATGCAGTCATGTTTAGTCTGTTGATGGTCGGCGATGCGGCAATCGACTCATCACGACGAGCTATACACGATGCATGATTCAAAGTAGAATTTTTCGATAGCGGATTTTTTTATGCCATTGTTTGGCGTTTCGACATGGCGGAGTGGCACTGATTTCAGATTGATTGGTACCCCAGTCGCGGAGTTAAGTTACACCCCTGGAAAAAATAGCGTCCCAGAAATAAAATATTGAATTGCCTCGGCCAGTTTGTATTATTTGGTACCGGGGTACCGCCATAAGGATCATATATATACACCCATATCAAACTTGCATCCATTTATCAGTCCACTGCAGGATGAAGTACTTGCCACACCCTGTCTGTAATGGGGCTTATGTGACCATACTTCACCTTGTTGGTCAGGGCAGGTTAGTGGAGGGAAATTTTGCGGGGAGCGGTTTAGATGCCACTCGCTGCTTGAGTTTCGCCGTGGCACGGAAGCCGAACTCGGGTCATCGGGTTCAAAGCGCAGTGCGCTAATCACCGCTTCTTCCCGGCCGCGTAAAGCACGCCACCATAAACACATCGATTGTCACCATGAGCGGTTCGTTGCACGGGCGTTCATCTCCATTATTTTTAAATCCTTTATATTAAGTTCGCTTGCTTGCTTGCTTACGACCGTGCAAATCTTTCGGTCGTTTTTTAACCCACTTCCCGTGATCCAATCGAGCTGACATTTTGCACACAGACTCGTTGTGCGTGACAATTTATTTTCGTGAAATTTTTTTTCCAAAATTTTCCACTTTTTAGGAAAAAATTAATTATATTTAATTACCAATTGCTTAATGGTGGCAGACATTCATTTGACCCATAGGTGGCAGCCATCTCAAGCCAGAGGACGAGAGGACTCTAGCCGCCACGCATATAAAGGATTTATAGTGAAAAACTTTGTTTTTCGGGTTAATTTTTTTGATGCTTCGGTTCCCCTCCCACGTGGAGGGCCCTCACTTTAAAGGACTTGGCGAGACTTGCGTCTGAAAGCGGCCCGCCTCCCGTGGGATAGTCTTCATATACACTGCGAGGCTTTGTTTGATTTAACGGACGGACGGACGCGTGGGCGATGAACGAGGCCGGCCGAGGCGACAAAAAGAAAGCGGCAGCCTTCCGTCAAGCGGAGAAAAGCTAAATGAAGCGGTGCCGGGAGCGGGCGCTTTCTCTTAAACAGAAAGAGAGAGAATAAAAAAGGATGCAATCTGCTGCATTTTTATCGGGATGCAGATTGAGCTATGAATCAGCTGCACAGACATGAAACAAGCTGCTGCCTTTTTGTGTAATACACGGAGAGACGTGTCTCGAAGGAGCAAGAGGTTTCCTCACGCAAAATGTGCCCCCTCCCTCCCCAAGTTGCAATGGATCGCTTGTTAAAAGCTTCACAGCTTGCTGTGTCGTGAATGCCTGGCACCCAACAAAACTATTAACTATTTTTATTCTACCAGGTAAGGCCCACTGAGCTATTTAGCTTCTGTCTCAGAGAGCCCAACGAAAGTGGCTTATCATCACTTGGAAATCTATCACGGCCCAAATACTCTAAACGTATGTTTCTAAATGTGGAGGAAAAAAAACGGAGGACCCGGAGAAAAATCCATGCAAACTCCAAATATGCAGGTATCAGGGTCGGGATCGAACCCACGACCTCCTGTATACCAGGCGAGGTAGTTAACATCTCCTAGCCACCGTGGCGTCAGGGTCCAGGGATCGAGCCCACGAACCTCCTGTATACCAGGCGAGGTAGTTAACATCTCCTAGCCACCGTTGCGTCAGGGTCCAGGGATCGAACCCACGACCTCCTGTATACCAGGCGAGGTAGTTAATATCTCGCCACTGTGGCGTCTAACAGAATCTTGGTTTTACCCATCTCATCGCGTGCTTGAAAATAACAGCAGACTGTAGTTTTTTCCCCTTCAGTATTCATGTTAGTAATGGGTTAAAGCTGGCAAGGGGGCGAGGAGGTTAAAGGGTAGAGAATGGCAACATTCCTTTTCTTCTCACAGAAAGTTGACTGCAGTTCCTTTGCGTGTTGATGCAATTCCGGCTTGGCTAAAATTTGCAGTGATTGTAAAATGTCATTTTTTTTTAGGCCTCTTGTTGTTTGCCGGAGAGACTCCGGTGATCTGCTAGGCAGTAGATTAGCAGACAATATGTCGGCTACATACATCTGCCTGGGCTCCACATTAAAAAAAATATGAAAGTCTTCTTTAAGCCAACTGTCGGTGTGTGGCTTCAGCAGTGTCAATTCAGTACGGACAATGGGGCGCATTCCGGGCGGCTTGGTGGTCGTGGGCCGATTGGCCTCGGCTTAATCGTCGTGTCCGTTGTTGTGACCCACCGCACCCTTCAGGAGACTTCACCATGGAGAACAAGAGGTTGCAAGAGGTCCTCTCTGAGATCGAGAAACCACAGGTAAAGTTGCGCAACTTCCCCGCACTTCCGCTCACGCTTGCATGCGAGCACGCTGGCCAACACCGCACAATTCTAAACCGGTCCTGGACCTCTCCCTGGTCAACTCGGCCTTAAAATAATTACCGAGTGCGTGACGTGTCAACTTCAGCATTGGGGAGACAAAGACGGGCGGACGTGGTGCTTGGCCACCCCACGACCTTGCGTGCCGTGCCTTGCCGTGCCTTGCCGTGCCTTGCCGTGCCTTGCCGTGCCTTGCCTTGCCGTGCCTTGCCGTGCCGTGCAGTGCCGTGCCGCTAACAGCGCGTGCCCCCACAACAGTCGGTTAAAGGCCACACGGTGGGGCGGTGGATTTCTTTGTCTTTGTTTGTGTCAGGTCGTGGAGGTGTTGGCTCGCGAGGTCCAAGTAAGTTGGCAGCCGCTGCCCGGGTTGAATCCGGAAGACGACTCCGGCGAGAGCCAGGGCCAGCCCCCGTGTCTGTACGAGCTTTCGCTGTCTACCAAGGCCAAGGAAGCCAAGTACAGGACTGTGTACAGGTACGGCGGGGACGCGTGCCACTTTCATCGTCGTCAATATCGTCGTTATTGTCTTTGGCAACGTGGTGACGTTGCGTTTTCATCAACTCTGAGTGAGTAGCGAACGATTCAGAGTCGCTGGAAACCATCGAAAAGCAGGGAAGGCAGCCAGAACTGGTGACAAGAGTTGCCCACGTTCTGTCATCCTATAGTGGGAAGTTTGGCCACCGCCATGAATGAGTCTTTTATACGTGTGGGAGTAAACCAGAGAACCTGGAGAAATCCCACATGTGAGAGGTGGGGGGGGGGGGTGCGTGGAGGGGGTGGGGAGCGGTTACAATCAATCTCCGTACAGATGGAGTACAAATGGAAATGATCCCACTTGCCCTGCTGTTCCATCCCTGGCAAGGCAGGAGGTGGCGACGCCGGGCGCCCACGGTTAATGAGGAAGTTTCACGACTGTGTGTGCGTGGGTGTGATCCGCCAACCCTCGGTGCCTCCGCGGTGCTGGGTTGCAGGCCACGTGCGGCAAAGCCACACCGCCGCACCCGGCGTGGTGACGCACCCTTGCGATCTTCACCGCGATCGCCGCGAAAGTGATTGTCGTCATTGACGGAATCGGTGTCGCCGTGATTTCGAGTCGCCTGAAAAACCGGCATCGCCACCTCCACCAAAACCCAGATGCTCGGGTTGAGCGACAGTGGCTAGAGATGTTAATTACCTCGCCTGGTATACAGGAGGTCTCGGGTTCGATCCTGACCCTGACGCCTGTTTATTTGGAGTTTGCGTATTCTCTCTGTGGTCACGTGGATTTTCCTCCGGCTCCTCTGGTTTTTCCCCTCCACATTCGCTTTTGAAAAAAGAGCTAAACAGCTCGGTGAGTAAAAACGTTCGTTGTAAAAATAGTACTCGTAGTCGGATTAATCAGCAGGAGATATTAGAAATTGGAACGATGAGCAGGTGTGCGCGTGAATTAAAAGGAGGAAGTAATTAGGCGCATGTCTGCGGTCTTCATTAAAAAAAGTAAACAAAGTTCTGGGCGAACGGGAATAGGAAACATGCTGTGAGATTGAATTCAGCAGAATGAAAGTTAACTAACCTTCAAAACACTTCCTGGATGCGGCTGTTGCCCGCTTCATACCCTGGGTGCACGGTCACGGAAGGTCATCTGAATCGTATAAAGGGTGGAAACCAGGTACCCACGTGTGTGTCGCTGGACGGGAGGTCGTGGTCGGTTGCTCGCTGACGCTTGGGGGACGTGGGCCTTGTAGGGTTCTCGATTTATCGGCCACAACATAGTTAATCGAATCGTCTGTCTTTTCTACGAAGCGTCTCCAGCTCCGGTAGTTTTTTTTTTTTATCCAGCTCGAGCATCACTCCGCGCGAAGCTGAACAACAGAACCTTCTACCCTTCCCCCCGCCCTCCCTCCCCGCCCTCCCGCGAGCAAATCACTCGGCAAGCACGGGGACACGAAGTGCCGCGTCTCGTGCGCGGCACGGTTTGGGATGATAATAATAATGTTGAGTAAAAAACGTTTGAATTGTTGACCCCGCGCGGCAGCGAGCACTTACGCACATTAGTCTACCGAGTGGCCTGCGTTTACCCCTCTTTGCGCAGCCAGTACGGGAGAAGCTGGCCTTGCACGTAAGCAAGCCAGCAAAAAGAACACCATGTTAAGGGAGCCTCTGATTTTGTTGTTGTTCGTAAATGCGCTGCAATGGGACACTCGGCATGGATATAAAACGATGTTTGCGATACCCTGCGATTTCTTTGGTTCGGGGATTGCTTTTGTTTGAAGAACTTTATGAAATTAGAATATCCCCCCCCCCCCCGCACACGTCTTAACGTTGTTGTGAGACTTTCTCAGAAATATCACGATTAACAGATCCGACTGTGCAAAGAAATGCACTCGTGCGTACACACAGAAGGATGCACGCACACACACACACACGGGCGCCATGGTGGCGAGATGTTAACTACCTCGCCTGGTATACAGGAGGTTGTGGGTTCGATCCTGACCCTGACTCCTTTATATTTGGAGTTTGCATGTTCTCCCCGTGGTCGCGTGGATTTTTCTTCGGGTCCTCCGGTTTCTCCCTCCACGTTAGAGTATTTGGCTGCAATACATATCCACGTGATAAGCCACTTAATTGAGAAATAATTTGTGGGCATGTTGCTTCTACAAAATAGCTATATAGCTAACGTTGGCTTTGTCTGTTAAAATAAAAAATTGCGTAGTTGAGTTTTATAGTTGACACGCACACCGCTCACTCTACCACCCGAGCCACCTGTGGCCGGATAGAGAAAAGCTCGGCTCTTATGTTGTACATCGTGGATTACGAGCCAAAATTACGTGGTCGCTTGTTTTTTAAATCCTTTATATTAAGTTAACTTGCTTGCTTGCGCGCTTGCTTGCGCGCTTACGACCGTGCAAATCTTTCGGTCGTTTTTTAACCCACTTCCCGTGATCCAATCGAGCTGACATTTTGCACACAGACTCGTTGTGCGTGACAATTTATTTTCGTGAAAATCTATTTTTCCATAACTTTACACTTTTTAGGAAAAAAATGTTATTTAATTACCAATTGCTTAATGGTGGCAGGCAATCATCTGACCCATAGGTGGCAGCCATCTCAAGGCAGAGGACGAGAGGACTCTAGCCGCCCGTTTCAAAGACCAATGTGGGCTGGCACGCATATAAAGGATTTATAGTGAAAAACTTAGTTTTTACGGGTTAATTTTTTTAATGAACGGAGACCGCTGTTCGTAGCCAGCCGAGCCGGGGGCTGGGGGGGGGGGGGCCCCTTTACTGCCAGAGTTCATCGCATGCGGCGCCGTCGTTACCGCCGCTGACGCTGCCAGGCTAATGAAGCTGCCTTCTGTCCCACGACAGGGGTGAAGAGCTGGAGTTCAAGTTAACAGACTTGAGGCCTGCGACGGAATACTACATCAGGTTTGTCGATGATGATACTGCACGTCGAACCGTGGTTACCGCCACTCGCCCACACTCGCTAGCATTTGCCAGCACTCACCGCGACTCATTACTGACTAACATTCGCCATTACATATTTTGTATTTTCCGCATTGCGTATTACTCGCCTTCCAGAAACATTAACGTCGTTGATATTTTTGTGGCACTCACAAACGGATTCATCGTGGTGCCTTGGAAAGAGAGAAAGAGACGGACGCAAAAAGACACACAATGGGGGGGGGGGGGGGGGGGCGGCGTTCAATATTCTGAGCGCTGATTGGATGTGGCGAGCGACGCTTCAAGTGTGTCTCGGTGTTTTAACACGGCCTCGCGTGCGGAAATGGGCGAATGGTGGCCGATCTTTCATCATTGTCAGCGTTTGCTGCTGCGGCCGCCTGCCCCCCTTCCCCCAACCCTCCCAACTCATCATCCCCCCCCCCACTGCCCCCCTCCCCACCTTCGCCAGGGTGTGCGCTCTGTGCGACGGCGTCAAAGGCTCGAACTCGGAGCACGCCACCTTCACGACGTCCCCCGCCGCTCCCGAGGTCCCCAGTCCCCCGAAGCTCACGAGCAGAACCAAGTCTACGCTCGTGATGCAGTGGAAGGTATCCCTCGCTCGCTGGGTCACACCAGGGCAGCCCTCTGATCCCCCGCCCCCCCACCCACCCAGCGTGCATCAGCCACTCGGTGTCGTGTGATGCGACGATGCCGCCGCTGACCGCCAGAATAAACACATTTCAGCCGTTCGGTGACGCCGGACGTCGCGCACGTGCGCTCCCCTCTCCTGCCTTTGACGTTCCCCCGAGGAGGAGGAGGAGGGAGACGCTGGCGGTTTGAACCAATCAACCGCGTCGGGACATCAGTGAGCCGATGAGCACCTCTCCTTTGTAATTGTAAAGTTTCAGGACAAGCCACAGGAGTGCGATTGTGGCCACGCAACTCTAAACTGGGGACCATGTAAGTCAACCACCCTTTAGTCTGCGCTCGTTCAACAGAGGGGGAGGAACAGCACAACTACACGGACTCCATACTCTTTGGTTCTTTCGGTGAAAAAGAAAAATTATAATAAAAAATAAGTAAATTAAATCACGACGTTTCGGAGGCAACACAAGCCTCCGTCATCAGGTGGGACAACAACATCAAAAAAATTACTGTAGTGGGCAGAGAGAGCTGTATGTGACAAGCGATTATATAGGGGAAGAGGGGGGGGGAGGAGCCAGGGAGGAGGGATGCAGGGGGGGGGCCGCGTGTGGAGTCGGGGGCGGGGGAGTTTAAGGTGTTGTCGCTAGTTTCTGTAGCCCCGAGGCAATTAGGATATTATCACATCAACAACATCCTTCCTGGACTCTCACGGACTCTCTCTCTCTCCTGACGCCTTCTTGTCGTGGCCAGTAGACCTCGCATCGAGCCAGAGGTCGCAAACGGGTTTTTATTCCTTACCCTTACCCGTACCCGGCTGCACCAGGGTCGAAAACGGGTACCCGTACCATACCTAATACCCGGCTACCCGTACCCGGCCGGGTATCGGGTACCTGATTGCGACCTTTGGGATGAAGCCATGTTGCAGACTCGGGTGGGTTGATTCTAGGAACTTGAATTGTGAGAAGAGACAAGACGTTGGGAAATGAGTGACAAACGGTGACTCACCAGTGACTCACGGTCTACCCGTACCCGTACCCGTCCCCGGCCGCACCAGAGTCGCAAATGGGTACCCGTACCCGTACCCGGCTGGGTAGCCGGGTATCGGGTAGGGTACGGGTATCGGGTACCCGGTTGCGACCTCTGCATCGAGCTCCTCAACGTATTGCTGCCCTGCACAAGAATTGAAGTATCGGTGTGACGGGCGCACTACTTAACCTCTCCGCCTTTCATCCCTCGCTTTGGCTTGGCCTCCGGGGCTAATTCGGTGGGCAGGTTTTAGTTTGAGTGTCAGTCCAGCCCCACGGTAACCTTTGTCGATTTGTCGTCTGTTCTCGTTCTGTGGATGTCTTGCTGTCAATCTCTTTTGAGTGTAGTACTCAATATTTGAGTCCCCTCTAAGTTCTGAAATGTTTATTGACGTCAGTGGCTGTGCAATTTCCACCCCGTCCCTCCTCCTCCCAGATGTCAAAAAAACTCAACACGTCCATCATTAACACTGCACGGCCTTAAATGAAAAATACTATATAATAGGTGACGTTTTGATTTAGATCTTTCGTGACTGCAGGGATTCAACTTCTTGGTTCTTTCGGTAAAGTCACGTAGAAGGGAGGTAATACAATAATAAAAATAAAACATAATAAAATAACCTGAGGACGGCTGCTTGCGTTGTGGCCGAAACGTCGTGAGAATTATTTTATTATGTTTTATTTTTATTATTTTATTACTTCCCTTCTACGTGACTTTACCGAAAGAACCAAGAAGAGAATAGGTGACGTGTCAAGCAACGGCCCTTCTGGAAAGCACACGATATTGGCACGTTAGTTACTCGGGAAAACCCGGGAAATCGTCTTACTCCTAAACACACGTAGCCAATTGTTAATTTTCTTCACCCGTGCACTTCTGCCTCCACGACAGCGCTCTTAAATGATATCGGACCGCGACTTCGTCGAGGCTCATCGGCGCCGTCTTCCGTCGCGTGGTTCGGCGTCGCCCTCCGGCACCCCGGCGGGCAACGGCCGTAGCGGCCGTTGTGGTCGTCGTGGTCGTCACGCTCGCCGGCTGTCGTCAAAGCCGACTGCGGCTCTTCTCTCACCTTTGTGTCTCTCTCTCTCGTATCGCAGCCTCCCGCGGACAACGGCTCGAAAGTGACGGGCTACGTCTTGGAGTGGGATGAGGTATGTTGACCGCACCTCCGAATGGCGCTGTTGGGCTACGTACGGCGCGAAAGAAGTTCAACATACGTACATAGACGCCAAACGGCTACCGCTCGCTCGTCTCTAAGCGATTTCCTACTTAAATGACCACCATCCAGTCGTAGAAATCCCACATTTCTATGGCAGGGACGAGTCTATCCATAGGAACACCACTGCGTGGTACCCTCGGGATGATGGGCTGAATCGACCTCCGCTCGCTCTTACGATGAGCCACTGATAAGTGACAAAAGTAGACGGTGTTATGAATTTCGAGGTTTGTTTCCCCATCTCCCGATATTATTGTTGCTGCACGATCGGAGTCTTGTCACTACACACCCTTTCAGATGCGCTTCTTCGGCCGTCTGGAACGTTCTTCCGATATTAGTAAGCCATTGGAGCTATGCACTTTTCAATAATCTAGATCGAAAACTAATTTCTTTAGGACCTGTTTTTTGTGTTTAGTATGTTGTCCTTTTTCCGTATCCTCCGATTAGCATGGTTGGCTACGTATAGTCGAAAGAAGTTCAACGTTCATATACAGAGTGCCCTTGGAACTGCCCTGCAGTGGAGAGATATCACAGACCCACTTCAAACAGCCACTGGTCCACACTTACCACCCTGCAGAGTCACCTGGCAGTCAAAACAATACTGTGATAATTTTCACAACTCGGATTTTGTCAAACTTAGTGCAGGACCACTCCACTCGAGCACCCAGTTTGACGGCTGTCTGAATTCGAAACCCAGGATCTGTCGGGGGCCGTCAGCTCCGGCGCCCTGGCTTCTTGCGTCACCGTGCCGCCCCCACGTGTCGCGTGACACGTTCGCTTCTCCTTTGCCCGTTGTTCTCCCTCCGCACGTGCAAGGGAATCAAGGGCGGCGCTTTCAAGAACTGTTACAACGGCCACCAGCGGCAGTACCGGGCCAGCAAGCTGTCGCCGTCCATGGCCTACCGCTTCCGCCTGGCGGCCAAGAACGACGTGGGGACCAGGTCGGCGAAACCGTCGAGTGCCGCTCGTCGGCGTGAGAATCATTTCGGCGTCGGCGTGAGAATAATCTCGGCAGCAGCTTGCACCGCCTCCCGCCGCACGCTATTCGCTCGTCGCCGTTGGAGCGAGGGCGGCTCGGAGGCGCGGGGAACCACGAAACAAGCCACGCGTTGAGCCAGTGCCCAACGATTGCCCAAGCTCTGCGGTCCTCCATATGTTAAGACAATCGCCGTGAGGAAGTCGGCGCGTGGTATCACTCTCTGCACCAAGCGGGGAACGCGCGCTTATCGCGGGGGCCGCGTCGCCACCCCTCGAAAGGGAGAGAAGGGTGGGGGGGCGACGAAGAGGAAAACCCGCACGCACAACGATCGTAAAAAAAAAGTCTTCTTTCTTTCTCCCCGGCCGCGCGCAGTGACTTGAGCGACGAGGCATTCTTCTTCACGTCGGGCAGCATCCCGCCACCACCGTCTGCCCCGTGCCTGCACCGCGCTGCCGTCACCTGGCTCGCCATCACGTGGAGCCGCCCCACGGGCCTGGCCGCCGAGGAGAGCCTGCAGTACCTGCTGGAGATGGACGACCCGAGCACGGTTGGCGCGCCGCCCCCCCACCGCCCCCTTCACCCCCCCCCCACCACCGCCCCCTTCACCCTCCCACCGCCCCCTTCACCCCCCCACCGCCCCCCCCACCGCCCGCTTCGCCACCCCCACCGCCCGCTTCACCCCCCCACCGCCCCCACCACCGCCCCCTTCACCCCCCCACCGCCCCCACCACCGCCCCCTTCACCCCCCCCTTCACCCCCCACCGCCCCCTTCACCCCCCCCCCCACCACCGCCCCCTTCACCCCCCCCCCACCACCGCCCCCTTCACCCTCCCACCGCCCCCTTCACCCCCCCACCGCCCCCCCCACCGCCCGCTTCGCCACCCCCCACCGCCCGCTTCACCCCCCCACCGCCCGCTTCACCCCCCCACCGCCCCACCGCCCCCTTCACCCCCCCCACCGCCCCCACCACCGCCCCCTTCACCCCCCCCTTCACCCCCCACCGCCCCCTTCACCCCCCCCCCACCACCGCCCCCTTCACCCCCCCACCGCCCCCCCCACCGCCCGCTTCGCCACCCCCACCGCCCGCTTCACCCCCCCACCGCCCCCACCACCGCCCCCTTCACCCCCCCACCACCCCCACCACCGCCCCCTTCACCCCCCCACCGCCCCCTTCACCCCCCCACCGCCCCCACCACCGCCCCCTTCACCCCCCCCTTCACCCCCCACCGCCCCCACCACCGCCCCCTTCACCCCCCCACCGCCCCCTTCACCCCCCCACCGCCCCCACCACCGCCCCCTTCACCCCCCCCTTCACCCCCCACCGCCCCCACCACCGCCCCCTTCACCACCTCACCGCCCCCCCCACCGCCCTTCACCCTCCACCGCCCCCACCACCGCCCCCTTCACCCCCCCCACCGCCCCCACCACCGCCCCCACCACCGCCCCCTTCACCCCCCCACCGCCGCCCCCCCCCCCCCCCGGGGCCTCCTCTCTACTCGGGTTACACTACCCTGTACCTAAATTTCGATTTAAAGCTTTCGTGACTGCAGGGATTCATCTTCTTGGTTCTTTCGGTGAAGTCACGTAGAAGGAAAATAATAATCATTCAGACTCTACCTTCTCGACAGACCTGTTCTCCACCTGAAGACGGCTGCTTGCGTTGGGGCCGAAACGTCGTGAGAATTATTTTATAATGTTTTATTTTTATTATTTTATTATTTTCTTTCTACATCACTTTACCGAAAGAACCAAGAAGATCCAGCTAAGATATTCGGCCGCGGCTACCGACATCGGTGGCGAGTGGCATTATTAAAGTCCTGTGCTGGAATCCTTTTGTTATCTTAACGGAGTTTATGTAGCGCCTTCACCAACGGTACAACAACGTGTGTCTGAATTTGATGGTGGAGATGAGGTGAATGAAATCGACGAGAGGAAGCAATTGGGGGGGGGGGGGGGGCGAATCTGCGATGATGCGTGAATTTGGCGAAAGCGAAATTCGTGACCGTACATGATGATGAATGTTTACGTGATCAGAGCAGCGTTCGTGACCGGCACGGCACGGCACGTTTGCGAGGGAGGTCTTAAAGCCAACATTCGATTGACAGAAAATGATCCCAGAGTTAAATTCGACCCACGCAATGCGATTGGTGTTGTGACCAAACATCCCGAAGCGGAAAACGTACCCTCCTCCGTGTTACTCGGCTGGAATTACTCAATTGTAAATATCACCCGCCAGCGCCCGCCTGCGCTGATGTGTCGGCATCGGACGTGCCCGCAAGCAAATCTGGCTGTGACGGTCCCACCTGATGACGGAGACTTGTGTTGCCTCCGAAACGTCGTGATTTTTATTGTTTTATTTTTATTAATTTTAATTTCATTTTTTACCTACGTGACTTTACCGAAAGAACTAAGGGTATGTGCCCGCAAGACTCTGTGTGGGTTTGTTCGTGTTTCACATGCGCGCGTTCCCCGCAGGGCTACGGATTTCGGCCCAAGTACAACGGAGAGGAATTGATCTACACCATCAGGAACCTGAGGAGAAGCTCCGAGTTTAAGTTCCGGGTAAGTTGCCCCATTGCTTTGGTGTTGTTGTTGTTTTTGTGTAATGGTGTCTGTCAATCCATTAGCCGGATGCACTCGTCCGGAGCTAAGTTGGTCACTGGGTGGGGTTGTTTGGCTATACTGGTCAGTGCAGGTTGGTGAAGTGAGGTGGGGGGGGGTGCCCTGGAATGGGTTCACCGCTCGTGGTGGTAGCTACGGCCGGGACTAAAACTCGTAGAGAGCACGCAGGTTCATAGCGCGATGCCGTTGCCACTGCGCCACCGCTACACCCAGTTGCCGAGGAGTTGTCATCGCACAAATAGCCCTTCCAAGTCGGAGTGGGCCAAAGTCAGCGGGTAATTCAAGTGTGTTAAATTGACTTGATGTTCCAGGCATTCAAACAGAAATTTAGACCATCGACTTGCGTGATGTGAGACTCTGGTTCGATCACCGGCGGTCGCTGAGATGCAAACCCACCGATCTCGGCAGCTTTAGTAGCGGCTGCTTGCTTACGACATCGTCGTTGTGAGCCGTCCCTCCACCTCATGGAATTGCTAAGGGAACGTGTGTATGTTGAACTTCTTCCGTACCATACATAGCCAACCGTGCTAGTCAGAGGTGCGCGGGAAGGACAACAAACTAAACACAAGCGGTTCTCAAGAATGGAGTTTTCAATGTGGATTTAAAAGTGCACAGCCTCCAGTGGCTTCCTAATATCGGAAGGAAGAACGTTCCAGACGGTCGCAGAAGCGCATCTGAAAGTGCGCGATGCGGGGTGACCGTCTTTGTTCGATGGCTAGCCAAAAGACTTTCTACGCGCGTGTGTGCGTGTGTGCGTGCGCGCGTGTGTGCGTGTGTGTGAGTGCGCGCGTGTCTGTTCTTGTGAAAATGCGTTTCTATTTATTTTTGCTTGTCTCCCAGCTCTTCGTATCCAACGTGGAAGGGAGGAGCGGGCCGAGTGAAGTTGTGACGTTTGAAACTCAGCCAGACAAACCCGGAGCTCCGAGCAAGCCGCTTGTCAAGGGGAAACTGCTTCCTCATTCCTTCAAGGTCCTGTGGGGTACGTGCGCACACCCCCCCCCACCGTCGCTAGGATAGCGCGGCACGCAATCTACTTCGGGATGTCTCTCCGCCTCGATGTGCCGTGTGCTCTCTCTCAAAGACGTCGGCGATCGTGGCCTGTGCCTCTTTGCACGATATTTACTCAAGAACTTTGCTTTTGAAACTCCGGATACATCCAGTTCTTTCGAATTTGCAAATGTGGCTTCGATTCGCCGTCTTTTCCCCCGGCTTCTTGAGGTGCCTGCAATGTTTCCGAGTCGAAACTAAATTGGCGTTCAAGCTCTTGTTTTCTCGTTGTGACGCCCAACAAATCTTAACCGTTCCTTTAATTGATTATTTCATTATTTTATCCCATCAGTTGTTTTTGTATAACCTGCTGCTATTCGAAGTATACATTTATGTCCATAAAATGTTTAGCATCGTCCTTCTTACAAACCACATTTCTGTTCTAAAGAAATGAGTTTTCAATCTAGATGATGATTTCAAAGTGCACAGCTTCAGTGGCTTCCTAATATCGGAAGGAAGAGCGTTCCAGACGGCCGTAGAAGCGCATCTTTGTTCGATGGCCAGCCAAAACTCTTCGATGCTTGTATCCAAAGTGTCCTTCTGTCAGTAGTTTCCATTCACCCCCCCCCAACCAGTGGAGTGTAAACCACGTATTGCACATCGGCGCGATGACGTCACCCACATCCCGTCCTCCCCCACCCGCCCCCCCCACCCGCCCCCCCCACCCTCCTCCCCCCACCCGCCTCCCCCCATGTTCCACTCAAGACATGCATCCCGGGCAGTGCGAGTAAATGTAAATTATTTTTTAAATCCTTTATATTAAGTTCACTTGCTTGCGCGCTTACGACCGTGCAAATCTTTCGGTCGTTTTTTAACCCACTTCCCTTGATCCAATCGAGCTGACATTTTGCACACAGACTCGTTGTGCGTGACAATGCATTTTCGTGAAATTTTTTTACAAAATGTTCCACTTTTTAGGAATTTTTTAAAAATATTTAATTACTAATTGCTTAATGGTGGCAGGCAATCATCTGACCCATAGGTGGCAGCCATCTCAAGCCAGAGGACGAGAGCACTCTAGCCGCCACGCATATGAAGGATTTATAGTGAAAAACTTTGTTTTTACGGGTTAATTTTTTATTTTGTCGTGCCGTTCGTTGATCAACCTCTTCCGAGAGAGGCACCTTACAGTGAACGTATTTTGCATACTTCCTCGCACCGCGCGCCAACAAAACATCAATTGTCACATGACCACAACCACCAGACCACAAATTCTCTCCTCGTAAGCGTCGATTCACGTTCGCCGTGTGCCGGTTCGAACGAGCCCGACCCTGTTCACGAGACGCTGTGTGCGCGCCTTCAACACCGGTTGTAGAGTTCAACTTTGTACCGCACCAATGCCGCCGATTTATCCTCCGAACTGTCGATCGTTCCAGAGCCGCCAAAAGACAACGGCGGCGTCGAAATCACCAATTACACGCTGGAGTTGGTGGAAGGGGACAAGATGCGTGAGTACCTCGCTCGTCTGCGTGTCCTCCCACACGTCTACGCTCACTCGTTGCCCGATAACACCTTCATATGAAGAGGACCGCAGAGCTTTGAGAAATGACCGGCGGGGAATTTGGCGCCGGCTCTCCGCCTCGCGGCTGCTGCTGCTGCTGCCTTCCCCGCTCGTTCGTGGTTCCTCCTTTGCGCCTCCTTGAGTCGTCTTCACTCTCTCACACTCACTCTCACTCACTCTCTCTCACTCACTCACTCTCTCACTCTCTCACTCATTCTCTCACTCTCTCACTCTCTCTCTCACTCACTCTCTCACTCACTCACTCACTCTCTCTCTCACTCACTCTCTCTCACTCTCTCTCTCACTCACTCACTCTCTCACTCTCTCACTCTCTCTCACTCACTCACTCTCTCACTCTCTCACTCACTCTCTAACTCTCTCACTCACTCACTCTCTCACTCTCTCACTCAATCACTCTCTCACTCTCTCACTCACTCTCTAACTCTCTCTCTCTCTCACTCACTCTCTCACTCACTCACTCTCACTCACTCACTCTCAATCACTCACTCTCTCTCACTCATCTCACTCTCTCACTCTCTCACTCTCTCACTCACTCTCTAACTCTCTCTCTCTCACTCACTCTCTAACTCTCTCTCTCTCACTCTCTCTCTCTCCCACTCTCTCTCTCTCCCACTCACTCACTCTCTCTCTAACTCTCTCACTCACTCTCTCTCTTCGAGGGCGAGCGAATACTGCGGGCGGGCGTGTTACGGGTTGAAACGTCGTCATGCTTATAAACCGGCGGCTGACGATTGCGGCGTGTGTGTGCGTGTGTGTGTGCGCTGCCGCGTCTGCAGCGTCGGCGTGGGAGGAGGTGTACAGCGGGCCGCAGCGCGAGCACTCGTGCGACCACATGAGGCCCGGCGCGTCCTACCGCCTCCGCGTGTCCTGCACGAGCGAGGGAGGCACGAGCCAGGTGAATTTGCGCCGTCGACGGCACGGCTACAGCTGTGCCTGTGCTTCCCCGGGTGCAGCCGCCGCTGCTGCTGCTGCTGCTACCGCTGCTGCTGCCGCTGCTGCTGCTGCTGCTGATGCCGCCGCTGCTGCTGCTGCTGCTGCTACCGCTGCTGCTGCTACCGCTACTGCTGCCGCTGCTACCGCTGCTGCTGCTGCTGCTGCCGCCGCCGCTGCTGCTGCTGCTGCTGTTCTACATGGCCGGACACGACCCCAGGACGGGGGCAGGGAGCGGACCCCCGTGTCGCAAACGATCTCGCTGCGTGGGGTTTACTTTACACAGTGTCTGTAAATGTCGCTTGGGCTGTCTTGTCTGGTGGCGTTTATTCGCGAGCTCGCATTGAGGCTGCAAGCTTCAAACAAGAACAACGAATAGTCTCCACGCAACTGGCTCTTCTCTCCGTAGTGCGTCCAACACTGATACACGGCTCACCTCTAAACATAGCCCTGAGACAGCTCAACTCTCTTGTGTGTTTATGTGTAGTTGTTCGCTAAGAGCACTTGCCCCAACAGTGTGTTACAGGCTTTAAGGGGAATCTTTGTCTTTGTGTCTAGCTCTGGGCTTGGTGCTGGTCACACCACTCGGTCGTGTGCTGTGCCAACCTTAATAGGTTCTTGCACTCTTGCAAATGATGCCCCAGCTGAAAATTTGATGGAATAAAAATAAGAGTTTGTGGTAGGCGAGGCTAGAAATCAGCTGTCACAGCCCAGCAAGGTTTGCTGAGATACACAAATTCCTTCGTTACTTCCTCAGCGGCTGTGTCCTTGCGCCTGTATTCACAGTTATGCATGTGTACATGTGTCCGTGTGTGTGTCCGTGTGTGTGTTTCGTTTGTCGGAGAGCGGTAGTGCAGTGGTTAATGTACTGCGCCACGAACCCAGTGACCCGAATTTGAATGCTGCTCACGGCCAACATCGGTGACGAATATCTGAACTGGTCCTAAACCTCCCATAGGTTGGCTCGGCCTTAAATGAGTACCCGGTGCGGTGTGTAAACATCACCACTAGGGAGACGAAGGCGGCGGGGGGGACATGGTGCTGACCACCCCTTCATCGGTGCTACTCGCTATAACAGCACCTGCGCTACAAGTCTGTTGCGGCTACACGGGGTGGGACGTGATCTTTGTCTTTGCAGTTCTCTGAAGTGTGCAGCATTCAGCTGCCGCCGATCGCGCCGGGTCCCTGCAACCCTCCTCGGGTGTTGGGGAAACCCAAAGCTCGTGAGCTTCACATCCGATGGAGTGAGTGCGACACCGCGATCCCGGCCTCCCGTTTCCGCGAGGCTCCATTTACGTTCCATCGTTGATGGTTGCTGTGCGAGATTAATTCATGGGTCGTATTCTATCGTGAAAAAATAATGTGTTTATGGGAAGAAAACCAGGGGAAGCTGGAGGAAAAGCACCCGTATAGAACCAGGGGGTGTTGGAGAACTTAGAACCTCCACGCACAGAAAGGCAACAGGTTTGGGTATCGAACCCGGGCCCTTTTTGCTGTGAGGTGCAAGCATTACCGCTGCGCCAATCCCTTCCAAAAGTTCACTGTGAGCGACGCGGCGTCCGCTCCTGCCTCCGCGCGTTCAAGCATTCGTCGTGTAACGCGCACGGAGCAATCGGTTCTTCCTGGCTAGCAGCACTTGCCCCTACAGTTCCGTCTAAAGAATATTCGGGGGGATCTTTGTCGGCATGAGTTACCGACTCGTGGCTGAAGCATTGTCAGTGATAAATTATATTGGACCTCCTCCCGCCCCGCCCATCCCGAGCACCTCCGATTAGCACGGTTGACTACGTACGATGCAAAAGAAGTTCAACATACATAGACTCGTGCTCTTAGTTCTTTCGGTAAAGTCACGTAGGTAAAAAAATGAAATAAAAATTAATAACATAAAATAATAAAATCACGACGTTTCGGAGGCAACACAAGTCTCCGTCATCAGGTGGGACCGTCACACAAAGACCCATGGACTCACACAGAGACCCATGGACTCACACAGAGACCCATAGACTCACACAGAGACCCATGGACTCGCACAGAAACCCATAGTTGTCCTTGCCACGCATCTCCAATTAGCTCACAGTTGGCTACGTACGATGCAAAATAAGTTCAACGTACGCTCATACGTACCCCAGTGGCACCACGAGAGGGCGCTATAGCCGCACATGTGAGTCACAAGCGGCTTGGGGTGAGTGGGGTCCAATAGAATGTATCATTGACAGTGCTGCAGATTAGTCATTAACCGGTTCATAAAATAATTGCGGTTATCTGAGAGTTATACTTATGGTGCACAAGATAATGCAAGTACATAAAACGTTTTGAGAAATAAACTAAGCCTACATTTTTCACTTTTATTTAAGAAATAATATACTGTTCTTACAGAGGTACTCACCAAGTCAGTTGTGGGGCATTCTAAGTTGATGTTAGAGCAACAGTGGGGCCGTTTAGAGTACAGTATGCTGTAGTACAGTACAGTATACAGTAGTGCAGCACTGTACGCACACGCTTCCGCTAGCGCCACCACTCGGCAGCGTCCTGACACTTCCGTAAACAACAACGGATCTATGATAAGCGCACGGTCAAGAATGCCCTGACGGCTGTCGACAACATTTCCAGATACGTGAAGTAAGATTCATTATGACCGATGCCGGTTAATAGGGCATCCCGGATAGTGCAAAGTGGCGGGTAACGGAGCTTCAGCCGTGCATCACATTTGCCCGGCGATCTGTACGGCTAAACGAGAGGCGTTGCTGTGTTGCTGTTTTCGTGAAGGCCCGTCAGCCATGGACGGAGGCTGCCCTGTGGCGGAGTACACCGTGGAGCTCGGTGGGCCCAACGTGGAGCCGCGGGAGGCCTTTGTGGGCCCTGAGCTGGAGTGCACAGTGCAAGGCCTGCTGCCCGGGCGCTCGTACACGCTGCGAGTGCGAGCAGCCAACAAGGCCGGGGTGAGGACCTACCCCCCCCCCCCCCCCCCCACCCAGAGTTGAATGATAAACGAACGGCATTCATAGAGCGTGACACACCTCCGATTCGCACGGGTTGGCTACGTACGGTGTGAAAGAAGTTCAACATGCGTGCATACATAGACTCGCACAGACTCGCACAGAGACCCACAGACTCACACAGAGACCCACAGACTCACAAAGAGACCCATAGACTCACGCAGAGACCCATAGACCCACGCAGAGACCCATAGACTCACACAGAGACCCATAGACTCACACAGAGACCCATAGACTCACACGGAGACCCATAGACTCACACTGAGACCCTTAGACTCACACAGAGACCCATAGACTCACACAGAGACCCATAGACTCACACAGAGACCCATAGACTCACACAAAGACCCACAGACTCACACAGAGACCCACAGACTCACACAGAGACCCACAGACTCGCAGAGAGACCCACAAACTCACACAGAGACCCACAGACTCGCACAGAGACCCACAGACTCTCACAGAGACCCACAGACTCTCACAGAGACCCATAGTTTGTTGTCCTTCCCCCGCATCTCCGATTAGTATGGGTTGGTTACGTACGGTGCGAAAGAAGTTCAACATACATACGACTGCGTATGTCAGGTGACACTGCGCTTGTCATGTGGTTCGGCATGGAACAACAAGCGATGCACAGGTTTTTTTGTTTGTTTCCCAATGGAGATAAATCCTCGTGCCTGTGACACATGCATTGCACCTTGCATGTGAGAATCGATATTATGTAAATTATACGTGATTTATATATGTATTCAGTTTACACTTTTTTTGTTAAATGAAAAAAAAAGCTGAAACGATGCCGACGAGAAAAGAGACTGCGAAGAGAAACGATGCGTAAATCGAAAGCGACCCTCAGTCGCGACGATCCGTCGGGTTGCTTGCGGGGGGGGGGGGGGGGGGGGGGGCTGTCGATGGGCTCAGTCGATGTCGCTAACCCGTCCCCCCCGGCCTGCGGGGCTCCCGCATGTCGTCCGCTATCTAGTACGGACCCTACTCGGAGCCCGTGGAGATGAACACAGCAGCCGGCGTTCCGGAGCAATGTCAGCCGCCCTACCATCACCTGCAGAAGCGCGACCTTGGCAAGCGTCAGCTGGGAGGTGAGTGTCAAGCCGCGCTCGGTACACGAGAGCCCCTTCCCCCACCGCCTCGTATACGCCACGCCGCAGTTTCCCCAAACTCACTTCCTCGCGTCAGCACCCACGAACGAATCGCCCTTGCCCACGACCGCGTTTCGTGGCGTTTACGTGGTTTCGGTAATCACCGGTGAAACGTCACAGTGCTGGAATTGTAAATGTTGTGGGATTAACTCTCCCAACACACAACCGGTTAGTGCTGAACTAGTAACTAGTTGGCACGTTTTGTTTACGTGACGAACCTTACTCATTGGCGCTGTCGGATGGTGGTGGTGGTGGTGGTGGTTTAACGACACGCATTTATATTGACGCGATCTTTACAAAAAAAAAGCGCTTCATGAATAATATTGGTCGCGAAATGCTACGTGTTAAACTCGGGGTTTATTTTGCACGGGTAAAACCCCCCACCTCCAATTTAGCCCCATCGTTTGTTGTCTTTCTACCGCATCTCCGATTAGCACGGGTTGGCTACGTACGGCTGCAAAAGGAGTTCAACGTACGCATACGTACAAGCCATTGGGCAATACATGCTAATTTTTGATGGGGGACCATGGTTACACCATAGGAAACCTGGTTACTACAGCAACTGAAAAAATCTACTCGGCAATCCAAAAACAACTGTACATGATCAAGCTCCAAATGGCAAGGTCATGCATCAACATGGGGTACAACCGGCACACAAAATGCAAGGCTCATAGAACGCATCACATACGAGCAACGCATTGATAACTTAAAGCGGAGCCGTCAACTGCACACACGTGAATGAAATTCAGGTCCCATGGTCCTGTAACCCTATTGGGTGACGACATCACCGCGGCGAAGCCAAATAGGGCTGGCTTGAGGGGCGATGACATCGTGGGGAACCCACCTTCTGGAAGATTCTACCAAATAATAAAATGCAAATAATTTTTTTCTCATTTTTTTTTGATTATTGGACGATTTTTTTAGAAATTTGGGGCGGATTCAAAATGTTAATTTGGGAAAGGTCGGCGATTTTTTTTTTCTACAAATTCTCGGCAAGAGGAGCATGGTTTTGGTTGCGCGGTATGTGTCCTCCACGCACAGTGTGGGCAGGTGCAGTTGCGTGACGGGCGGACACACGCGCGAGCTGTACGTCCATAGATTTCCCGCTGTTGGCAACAATGTCCAGGTTCATTAAATTCCCACTAATTTATCCCCGTGTTCCTCGAGGGTTGCGAGTAATTCTCTCTCCGCTATCGTTTTCCAGTAACGCTCGTTATAGACCCGTCGGTAACGTTTCCTGGAAACATGCTGGCTCGGAGGATTCTTTGAAAAGCGAATTTATTACGTCTGCGCTATGGATGTGTTTTTGTGCACTTTCTTTTTTGAAGACCTTTTGCGACTAAATATCTGTTTCTACTGGTCAAGGCTGCAGCTAATAAAGTGTTTCATAAATGAAATACAATAATCGACTTCAATGTATGAGCGCCGTGGGTCGCTTTCACATTATAATTGCACTTGTATGTTGCGTTTAGATTGTCATTCATGACTTCAGGTAACAATAGAGAGTCAAGTAGCTGAACATGAGTGCGGTTTTCCGGGTATTTGGCTGCTTTTTGAGAATTTCCTGCATCAAGCTTTTTCCACTTACGACCGAGGGACATATTCATCGCTTTGTCTACCAGAGCCGTGCTGATTGGTACAAGCGTACGCACGTGTACGCGTGCCCTTGCGATGGCTGCTCGCCTCCACGGTGTTATAGAAGTTGTTGCGATTTTAAGTTGTCAAAAGAACGATGGCTCACAACGCGGATTATTTCTTGTGTATTTAATGTTGCGGGCTCTCCTGAGCCCCTCTCCCCTCCCCCGCCCCTCTCTGAATCGTACAAAATGGTTCAGCTGTGTCAGAAAAATGAGCCGGCCTCTTTTGAGCAAAAGATGTATTTCAAATAATTTTAGGGTTCACTGTGAATGTCCAAGGCTCATCGGGCGAGACGAAGGCAACTTCGAGATTGCGGTTCATTGTTTACGCCCTTTGGGGCTCATTAAGCCAGAATAAAACACCTTGACGATGCGTATCGGTCTGCGTGTATGTCTCCGGCTCGGAGGCAGACTAAGGCGGCACCTTTGGGATTCCTAGGCCCATATATTAGTCACGGCTCGCCTCTACGCTTGGCCCTGGCCCAGGTGAGCCGCCTCAAAGCCGCCACCGACGCGTTTAACCCGAGCCGGCTCTTGAGTGCGGTCCCTGCCATGGTCAGGATTTCCACGGAGTCGATCCTGAGCCACGCCACGGCTGAGTTGCTCCTCTGAGGCATCCGCGGGAGTCACCGGGCACCTCAAGCCTGAGCTGAGCTGCGACTAAGACTACAGACCGCACAGTTTGCGTCAACACCAGGGGCTGACTAGGGGGTTGAGAGCGGCATACCACCGTGTTAACGTTGTTCGTCACTTGGGCCTGAATGCCGCCAATCTGATCATTCACATGGTCATTGCCAAATCAATTGAAATGGGCATAACGATGAAAAAGAAATAGCCGAGATGTGACAAATATTACGTTGTAAGGTCATCGCGTATGCAAAACTGATTTCCTGTAACTGAATGTTCTATAAACCCTGCTCAAGAAATTGTGTGCAGTTTCACATCGGCGAGTCTGCCGTGAGCATGGATACGCAGGAAACGTGGACGAAAGCAATCGGCCGACTCGGCCCCACGCTGCATCCGCTGCCAACCCGGCGTGCGTTTGTGCGAATGAATCCGTCCTCTCGCCAGAGTCCCTTTAACAACGGAGCGGATGTCACGGAGTACCGGCTGGACTGGGGGTGCGAGGAGGGCTCGCTGCAGCACGCGTACGCCGGTGGCTCGCAGAGCTACGAGCTCAAGGGACTCTCCCCGGCCACCTTCTACTTCTGCCGCGTGCAGGTGGGCACGGCGCTGCGTGTGTACGCGCAGACGTAGCGAGGCGCCGGGGGGTGGGGGTGGCGTTGAGAAATTCCGTCGATCGGAGTTGGGTCGTCATTTTCGAAATTCCATTCGGGCTCTCGGCTGTCCAGGCTCCCACCAGTTCAGCATCCCAACTGTCCTCGGGCTTGCGTACAAGGGACTTTGAACTGTGTCTCCGCGTTTCGTGAAATAACACGCGCATTGTAAACGTGTCATCGTCATCGTAATTATTGCTGCTGCTGCTCGTCACGTACCACCCGCTCCAGTTTACCAGCGACCCGCAATAATATCAATCGCACGCATATAACACGCTTGCGCCCGGCGCGCTCCGTGCGCTCGTCTCGTCGTCTCGTCGGGTGGCTGCAGGCGGTGAATTCGGCCGGCGCCGGGCACTTCAGTGCCGTCGCCACGGCCTGCACGCCCCCCTCGGCGCCGGCGGCCGTGAGCTGCGTGCGCGTCCTGCAGGACGGCGGCGACTCGGGCCTCGCCGAGTCCAACGCCGCCGCCGCCGCCTTCTGCCCGTCGTCGTGCTTAGCCGTGGCGTGGGACGAGCCGTGCTCCCACGGCTCCGAGATCGTGGCCTACAACGTGGACTTTGGCGAGCGGCAGCCAGTGGCGACGGAGCGAGCGGCCGCCCGGCGGCACGTCATCCGCAACCTGGCGCCCGACACCACCTACAGGTGGTGACGACGCCACCGCAGCTGCCGCCGCCGCGCACGGTTTTTTTACGTAAACGTTGACGAAAGTTTGCGGTGATTGCGTAAAAAAAAAAGCTTAGAAATTGTCTTTTTTTGCAATATGCCATACATACACATAAATACAAAATAATGTGTTCGTTTTAAATTGTAAGCTAATTTCAAATCTTAAGGTTGTTTTGATGCTTACGAATTCACGGTATACAGTGCCCTAAGGCGACACAAATACACTGCTCACATATTCTTGGTTCTTTCAGTAAAGTCACGTATAAGGGAAATAATAAAATAATGTTAATAACATTTTTATTGGTTTATTATTTTGTTATTTTATTATTTCCCTTCTACGTGACTTTACCGAAAAGAACCAAGAATATGAATCCCTGCAGTCACGAAAGAAGCTTTAAATCAAAACACTACTCACAGTTTCTTATCACACTCCGTATTTCTCATATCAACAACGCTTCGTTTTAATTGGCTCCAATCGTTGCTTCCCCCCCCCCACCAGAAGCTATCAATGGGCAATGCCTTAACGGCAAAAGCAAAACGACGCGGACTCGCCGCGGCGCGGCAAGCGAAACAATCGCTGCACACGCAGCACGACCGTCTCCTCGGCCTCCGCTCTTAGACACGAGCTTGCGTTAGCAAAGCTCACGGACACGAGCGCGCGTTAGCAAAGCGTTGTGTAGGAGGGAGCCCGGCAAGCTGGGGCCTTAAGCACCGGTGATCCGGAGCTCCCCGTGAGTAATTGCGGTAGAAATTTCCGTCTGCCAAGATGACACCAATTTGGAGCACTCCAGCAATGCTAATCTTTTCCTTTTGTATAGCCGCTGATGCAGCTGCAGAGGGACGACTGCAATTTCACATTCAAGTAGTCGTCGAGCCAGATCAGTGCATTGGGTGCAGCGGAGTGATATTGTTGTGATGTGTCATTCGTATTTGTGGATCGGGGCGTTGCGTCGTTATACGTTGCACGATCTGTTCTGAATGACCACAGACAGTCGCACTATTCATTTTTAATTTGCCCATCGGGTATCCGCATCTGCCATGGTTTGTGCGGATATAATTTAGCGTGGACCACGCGCACTCCAGATTTTTTTGGCTTCTGTAATGTTTTCGTAAATGTCTGCATCATAGCAGGAAAAACACACGCTTATTAAAAGAAAGTTATCATTTAGACACGTTTTTGGTAAGTTGCTTTTTCTAAGCAAGTCGGCAAGTTCAGTATTCCAGAAGCACGCGTACCTGACATAGAGCCCAGTCTGTCTTTAATTACCTGTCCACGGTCGACATTTATTGCTGTCCTTTCCAGCTGTGCCCCTATTTGACAGATGTCTCCATAGGAGGTGATTGCCACTGATTAAATACCGGCCCTTTATTCGCATTTTTCTGCTCCGTGATGCGGGGCATCGTCGGTAGTCCGGCGTTAATTGCCCGGCTGCGAGCTCTCGGCGGACGCGCGCCAACTCCCACCCCTCGCTCCTCCTCTGCCGCCGCTGCTTGCCGCGCAGGATACGCGTGCAGGCGGTGAACGCGGTCGGGGCGGGCCCGTTCAGCCAAGCGGTCAAAGCCAAGACCAAGCCGCTGCCGCCCGAGCCGCCGCGCCTCGAGTGCTCGGCCTACGGCCCCCAGAGCCTGAAGCTCAAGTGGGGGGAGGGCGGCGCTTCCTCCAGGGCGGCCGCCGCAGACTCGGTCGTCTACAGCCTGCAGATGGAGGACCGCGCCGGATGGTGAGATGGCGACGGCGGCGGCGGTGGCAGTGCGATGCGTGATGAGTCGGCCGATTAAAAACTATTGGAACGATGTTTTTTATTTCGCCAGGTTAAGGTGGGGGCCCCCCTTCAGTTTACCAGCTCTTTTCAGAAGCGACCTGGCCACCACATATGATAGCACAACGAGGTGGGCTTAATCGTTGTGTGGAAATTTGGAGCAGCCGAGTACTCTTAAACACGTGGCGTCGATTCTGAACGTGGGAGGGGAAAACCGGAGGACGCGGAGAAAAATCCACTCTGCTACGGCGAGAGAGAGACATGCAAGCTCCAAATATACAGCAGCAGGCGTCTGGGTAGGGATCAAACCCACGACCTCCTGTATACCAGGCGAGGTAGTTAACATCTCCTAGCCACCGTGGCACCGTATGTACAAAGGTCAACTCCTGTACACAGGTGAGAACAGGTGTGGGTGGCCAGCTGTGAAATCCGGCTTGAACAACGTCATCACTAAAACCCTGTTTTGTTTCACTTTTACCAACTAAGGTTGAAACCGTTTGATGCATTAGCCCTGTCCGTCCGTCTTTCTGTATCTTTGTCCACTTCTCTATCTGCCCCCGTGACATGTAGGTAGGTATGTTGGACTTCTTTCGCACTGTACGTAAGCCAACCGCGCTAATCGGAGGTGCGGGGGAAGGACAACAAACTAAACACAAATGCGACTTTTTAGAAAAATTTGTTTAAAATATTTTGATTTAACAGTGCATTGCTCCAGTGGCTTCATAACATCGGAAGGAGGAGAGGGGGTGCACAGATTGAGCTCTCACTGATTCAACAAAATAAACCTGCAGCATCTGTTTCGAACGGCTGACGTTGGTGTCGAGCAACAACTGCAATGTTACGTGTCGAGGTGGTTGAGCCAGCTGATTGCGTCGGGGCGAGCGGAATGTAATGAATTGCTCCTGGGACAAACATCCCGCGGGCGAAATGGAGAATAGTCTGTGCGCGACGTCGAATCGGCATCGTGACCAGGCGCCTTGCATTCCTTCGGAGTGCAACCGGCGCGCCCCGTAGCCGCGCAGTTGACGATGTACTTGTAACCGAAATAATTCGCACAGTGAAAACAACAACAACCGACCCAGACATTGAGCCCTGAGGAGGGGGGGGGGGGGGAGGGTGGGCGGGGGTGCCTTTCAACATGGCTGGAGATTGAAACGAAATATCCACGCTCGTTCCATTGCTGTTTGTCTGATCACATCAGGGATGTGTGTTGCTCAAAGCGAGCATCGAAAGCTGGTGGCTCATCTCCCGTTTACAGCCCTGAGGCAGTGGTGGACATTCAACGTTCCTTTAGGTGGGGGGGGGGGGGGCGAGTCCATCGTACGGCAGCCGCTGATGACCTCCCCACAAAGTGGCACTCGTTGTTTTTTGACCGCAGAGGGATTGATGTGGCCAGGATCAGCACCCCCCCACCACCTCACCACCACAATCAGGATTTGAACTCGCAACCCGGCGATTGCGAGCCGTTCGCTCCGCCGTTGGACTGCCTGTTAAAGAGCAGAAAAGTAAAACGGGCCTTAAAAGAGGTGCTAATATGTTCAAATACCAAATAGATAACTTTTGCAAGGCATCAAGTCTGCATTGTAGTTCTAACTGCTCGACCAGAGCTTTAATACTTCAGCTGGCGCCAAACTGTGCCACACGCCCTCTCGCATGGTCTCTCTGGGAGCCTCGACACCGATAAAGTGATTTGATTTGAATTTTTCTTCCCGTGTAGTTTTGACGATGCACACGTGTCGCGTCATCTGCCGATGAACTGCCGATCCAGGAAGGCCATGCGGCCGATGGATTGTGAAAAAATAGCTTTGGAGGGGGGTGGGGGGAGGGGTTTGGTAGGGGGGGCTTGAGTTAAGGGTTCACGTGGAGAGAGACAAACGCGAGAAGGGAGTTGGGGTTGTTCGTGACGCTCTCTGCTCTGCGTCCGCGCGCGCCAGCTTCACGGCGGTGTACACGGGGAGCTGCCACACGTTCAAGGTGCAGCGTCTGAGCGAGCGGACGGCCTACGCCTTCCGCATCCAGGCCACGAACGAGGCCGGCGACGGCCCCTTCTCGGAGACGCACACCTTCCGTACCACGCGTCTGCTGCCGCCCGCTGTCAAAGGTGCGGACAACGGTCCACCCCCCCCCCCCCCGCCGCTCCTCAACAACCGCCATTCGCCACTAAGTGGCGGTGACGTCACCACGACGCTTGTGCCAGGCCATGTGCATCTTGAGGCCACGTGAAGTGTCGAACGCCCGCTGGCAGGAGGTCACGGGGCAGACCCAGGTGCCACGGGTCGACTGACCGAGATGAACGAGATGACTGGCTGATGCACCACCTGTGCCCCCTAATGTACCAACTTGCTGTGCTTTAGCCACCCGCCGCTCCTCCCCCCCACACACACACACACACCCCTGATCTCCCCTTAGAATGCTGGTTACTTCATCCCTTGCTTATCGCCCCCCTCCCCCCCCCCCCCACATATTGTTATCTTGTTGAAGGTACACTGCTGATGGTTTCTATATGCACTGTGACTATATCGAACACGATTTCCGTTCTCTTCGTTTTTTAGGTAAAGTCACGTAGGTAAAAAATGGTGAATTGCTTAATGGTGGCAGGCAATCATCTGACCCATAGGTGGCAGCCATCTCAAGCCAGAGGACGAGAGGACTCTAGCCGCCACGTATATAAAGGATTTATAGTGAAAAACTTTGTTTTTACGGGTTATACTTGTTCATACTCTTAGTTTTTTTTCCGGTAAAGTCACGTAGGTAAAAAATGAAATTAAAATTAATAAATAATAAAATAATAAAAATCACGACGTTTCGGAGGCAACACAAGTCTCCGTCATCAGGTGGGACCGTCACAGCCAGATTTGCTGTATAATTTTTCAATTTGATAACAAAAAATTACTTGTGGTGAGTTCAGCTCGCTTGCCAGAGCGGGAGATGGATTGCTGCGTCACAGGGACTGCGGTGGCTCGGTGGATTAAGAGCGCTTGGCTACGTACGGCGCAAAAGAAGTTCAACGTGCATAAATACATAAGCTCCCACTCTCCCCCCCTCCCATCGAAAGGCCCAGAAACCATCGACGCAATGTATCGTGCTTGTAACCCTTGCCATAATAATAATAATAAGATACAGAAGGGGGGGGGGTGGGGGCGGTGGGGGGGGAGCCTCTTGTGAGGTCGTCGTGCTGGTGCCAGCGTGTGCTCCTGGCCAATCGTATTTCCACGCTTGCGCTGTGCAGCTCTCGACACGATGTCCGACGTTTTTTCTTTGAAAGGATCGATGGAGGTGCTGGGCTTGTTTCAGATTCTGTCGCGTTTTTTACCTGGCCAGGTTTTTCTACCATGGCTTTTGTCTCCTTTTGTAGATACCGCATCTCTGAGGTGCTATTCCCATTCCCACCTGGGCTGTTTCTGCGCGTGCGTTTTTCTAAACGTTGTCCCGAGATACTGGACATGCTTTTGAGGGGCGCTTACGGTGCCGTAGGCTCCTGCTTGCTTGCGTGCGTGACTTCCTGTCACGTCCCCCTGGGTGACCCAACCTCTCCCGGGTTCTACCGAGTTGGAGAACTTTGTCGGTGGAGGAGCCGGCCGAGGTGTTGGCTACTTCTTCTTGGTTCTTTCGGTAAAGTCACGTAGAATGGAAATAATAAAATAATAAAAATAAAACATTATAAAATAATTCTCACGACGTTTCGGCCATTCTACGTGACTTTACCGAAAGAACCAAGAAGATGAATCCCTGCAGTCACGAAAACTTTAAATCGGGTTGGCTACTGTTGAGAGGCTCTGGGAGCTCGAGGCCAGGGAGGACCCTCGGGAAAGGAGCTCACTGGGAGGATTTTGCCAGGATGGGGGGGCGGCCCCTCGGCGTTGACAGGCGGAGGGTTGCCACGCCGCCTCGGCGCGCGATGCTCCGACGCTCGACTCAACTCGTCCCCGTGCAACCCCCACCCTCCCCGCGGGCGCGCGCAGGCTTGCGGGTGCAACAGATGGACGGCAACGCTTGCGAAGTGCTCTGGGAGGCCGTGCCACCCATGCGGTCGGACCCCGTGGTCTACGTGCTGCAGCTGGCACTCCTCGCCACTGCCAGGGACGCCGATTACAAGCAGGTATGCGACGGTGTGGCGGACGCGGTCGGGGAGATGACATGCACCGTGTTTGGGCGGCCAGGGACGGCTCGCCTGGAAATAATAAAATTAATAATTACACTTCTTGTCGGTTCACGCCAGGGGTTGGCAACCTGCGGATCGGGAGCCTGCATGCGGCTGTTTGACTACTGCTTCCGTGACGTTATTCATTTAAGCACCACCGCCTCTCCTAGTCACATTGCATTGCGGCTGTTGATGTATTTTGGTTTGCCGACCCCTGGTTTGTACGAATTTATTTTTCAAAATAATTTATCGCGTTCGTTTGCAAGGAAAAATATCTAATAGGTGACGTTTCAGGGCAATGGGCCTTCTTTTTAGTGTTTGCGCTATGAACGAGAGCTTTCGGGGAAAAAACAACACCGGTTTTATTATACGTTGGGCAGCGGCAGTGTTGTCACCCACTGCTGTTGACGGATGCATCGAGTGTTTTTTGTTTATTGTTGATCGCGCTGCCAAACGCAGCAGCTTCACCAACCTCATCGGCCGCATGTGAAATCAAATCAAACTAAACGAATCACCGGTGACATTCGCCGATTGGACAAGCGGACGAGTGACCGTCGCGTTGCGAACACTTGCCCACCCCCCCCCCGTTAGGTGTACAAGGGCCCGGACACGCAGCACCGGCTCTGCGGGCTGCACACGGGCAGCGAGTACCGCCTTCGCGCCTGCGCCATCCGCCAGTGCACGGAGCAGCAGGGAGCCCCTCCGGCAGCCGCCCATCTGTCGTCAACAACAACCTCCTCGTCGTCATCGTCGTCATCGTCGTCGTCGTGTTCGTGGTCGTCGGCGGCGACCGCCGCCACGGCAACGTCCCCGTCTTTGTCGCCGGGGGTCACCACGCGGGAGCTGATTGGTCCGTTCGGCGCCGCCGTGACCTTTCACCTGCAGCGGCCGCAGTCGCAGGCCTTGGCGGATGGGGCGGCCGGGCACGGCGGCGGCGGCGGCGCCGTGACGGCGGCGGGGGGCGCCGGGGGGGCGGCCAAGGCGCTGAGCGACGAGCAGTGGGCCGCCATCATCCTCGTCGCGTTCGCCGGCTTCTCCATCCTCATCGCGGTCTTCATCCAGCACATGGTCATCATGTGAAGTTTCGTTTCGACTGCCCCGCCACAATTGTGAAACGGTACACGCGGAAATATTTAAGGAGATGAAATCGTATTTCTTTTCCGGTTTTTATTTTTTCACTTAATTTTTTTTTTTACGAAAACGGTTAATTTGTGGCACGGAGTTCATTGTTTTTTTTTGTTGTTGGATGGTTTTTGGGGTGGTCCAAGGCAGTTGTGCTAATAATGGTTTGTTTGTTTTTTGCAGTTCCAATTACATCTTAAATAAAATAAGATAACTATTTGGACAACGTGTGCCCAAGTTCGCACGTTGAGAATTCTGTGTCTTTTCCAAAAAAAAGTGCGCTAACTTTGTAGTTTCCCTTCGATTCTCTGAACCATTCACTCTCCTGCGGTACCGTGCATTCATGCCATGGGACTGATTGTCCACAAGGGACGCGCGTTGGACCGTCGACGTTTAATTGTCACCTCAATATTTTAGAAACGCGCCCACACACACAACTCCCCCCGCTTGTCTTCGGGGCCCACACCAATTCGGACGAGCCAAACTTCCAACGTCGTCCTTCCTGCCAATTTTCACTTCGGCGAAACCGTTTCGAGTGTGGGCGCTGGCGAGTTTGCCGTCGGTAACAGCGTTGCGCCACCTTCGAGGATTCGATGTTTATTTAAAAATCCAAGTTTTGGTTTAAGAATTTTTATTATTTTCTCCGGCGTCAGCACACCGTGGTCCGTATCGTTTTGTGTGCGTTCGTAGGTGCGCTCTTCTTTATTTTTTTCTTCGAGCGGTTTCCTTTTCGGGGGTGGCGAGTCGCCGGAGGCCACCACTTACGCGCTCGATAGCAGCCGCTGCAGTCGGAAGAAAATGTCCTTGCACTCAAACATTTACGTTGAACAGTATTGACCCTGGCGATGTTGTTGTTGTCGTCTTTAACGGTGGCCTCATCACGTACGGAGGGGTGGGGGGGGGGCGGCTGCCGTGTGTCTTGTCCGTGCTCGCGGATGTTTATAGGGCGACGACTAAATACGTGCCATCGTTTCCAAAGAAAAGACGTAAAAAAGCGAACTAAAAATATCAAGTACAGTACAGAACCAATATTTAGAGACGAGAAAAAAATCGGTCTTTCAATCGGCAACAAACAAAAAGCTAAGTCGTGTACGAACATATCACGAGTGAGAAAGGGACGCCAAAATGTACGACGTCAAAATCTGTGGCCTCTCTTTCCTGTCGCCACCGACGGGAGAAAACCGCGCGCCGTGGCGGAGGAAGGCGGCTGTAGGCAGCGGTCCGATGTGTGTTCCCGCTTGCCCGGGACAACGACAACGACAACAACAACAACCGTCGGCGCGCCGCGCTCGCTTGGGTTTCGGCAAGAAGCCGGCGGCGGCGGCGTTTGCGCAGAGCGCCGCACCGCCCCCCTCTCTCACCTTGCTGTCGGTCCGATGGGAGAGGCCCGTAATCCAGCGCTCTCTGCGCGTCTTGGAAGTGCATTTTGTTAACCTTGGACCGTACTGCGATGTTTTATTGTTGTGGGTGTCGGTCCCTTATGCCAGCTACTCCCCGATCCGCACTTTCTCTTTCCCCTCGATCGACCCCTGCGCCCGACGTGTGTGTATCTATTTGCTGTTTGTATCTGAATGTATTCCTTGAAGGGTAAGGGACCCAATGTGCCTCTGCTTAGGGCGCGTTTTTTTTTTGCGTGTGCGGCCACACGCTCCGGGAAAGCCTCGGGCAGCCTCCGGGCTAACTCGGGCGACGGGGTGTAAAGTCGATTTCAGAATATAAGAAAAATACAAAAAAAAAACGTTGAAAAAACCCCAAGCCAAAATCTGTTACTCCATCATGCAAAGCCAAATTCCAGTCCAAAGGCAAATGTTTAAAACGTAGTCGCTCCCCCCCCCCCCCCCCACCACTAGTAGGACTATGACGGCGATGACTACAGCCGCTGATTATGGAACACTCCGGAACGTTTGGGGCTTACCGCTTGCCGCCCTCTCACACACGGCAAAGGTGTGGTGGTCCCGCATGCGCACGCTCGTGCGTGTGCGCTTAACTCAGTGATGACTAACTGGCTACAAAATACACAAACGTAGAAAATCGGGCTGGGGGGGGGGGCAGTGTGGCGGAAATGCACGCTGCGATCATTTCTCTGAGCGTCGTCCGTCGCTGCCAAAGTCGCTTTTGCTCGGCGCGTGTCCGGAAACAGCTCCTCCCAGATCTGTGAAGAGGGCAAGTCCGGATTCCCGTTCGTTCGCCCAATACCTCATGGGGATCGCGGGTGAATAATTGCGATGATTCTCTTAAACAGTTTCCTCTTTTCCTCCACGATCCGACCGGCCCGTCTCGGTTTCTGTTTCGTCGTTTTATCGTGCCGTGCACGCGGTGGCCGGTCGTTGTCCGTGGTATTGGAGAGAGACGGCGTGCTTACATCTACAAGCCGGGAGAGAGATGCATACCGATTGCAAATATGCTCCTCGGCAGAATAGGGTATATTTTTTTTCCTGCGTAGTAAAAAAAAATATATATGACGTGTGTGTGTGTGTGCATGTGTATGTGTGTGCAGAGTACATATATGTAAAATTATATACACTATATGGAATATACACACTGTGTATACACTATGCACATATAAATGCACATACTCAAAAAAAGCTCGAATGCTGGCAAGCGTTTTATTTTCTTACCGCGTTACTTTCGAATCCTTTGAGCTGTATCGTTTTCGTTTCGTTCGAAACGTCGCCGGATTGGAGACCCGCGGTCGGAGTCTCACCGACGCATAACGGCGTGAATGGTTTTGTCGGGCCGATGGCGACGCCCCTCCATCGTGTTAGGTCCTTGCTGTTAATTCACGTATTATTCCGGTTTTCTCTCCCGCGCCATCGTCCCCACCCCCCCCCCCCACTACCCTCCCGTGAACACGTTTTAGTTTGTAAGTTGATGAAACGTAACGGTGCAATTTCTCGGCGTGTTGTTGATGTCCGGTTGCGCGTCGACGCTATTTATTACGAATCCCTCACGATTGGTCCTCTGCTTGCGAGCGCCCAATTCCGTTTTCTCGTTGCTCCTCGCGTCGCACAGGGCGACGCGCTCTGCTCGCTGTTCATTAACCCTCGTTTGCTCCTCGCCCCCGCCACCTCGCGATCGTTCACGCATTCGTCCAGAAGCTGTTTAAAACAAAATACTAAAACCGGACACACGCATTTGCTGTCACGCGCCAAACGGAAGTTTTCAATCTCTAATACGAAGTGTTTACATTTTTATCCTCGTCCGCGTCTTTCAGAGACGTGGCGACGTTGCTGCCACCGCCGCTGGCACCGTGTCGGTAGTGGCGACCCCACGCTGGGCTCTCAATCCGCGGGTCGCCGGTTCCATTCCATCTGCGGATGGCGCGGCAGGTGAAACGACTTCCCCCCCCCCCACTGCCGTCTCTGTCCACCCAGCGGTGTAAATGGGTAAACCACCGTTAAGTTGATCGGCAGGTCGCGTGTGGTGTGGTGGGGTTAAAGTGTGTCATACTTGCCACCTCTTCGAAGATTGTCTGGCCCTTGTGGAAGAGTAGACCAAAACACCCGCTTGAGGAACAATCCGGAGCGCCTTCTGGCGGATGGGAATTTCAGGGGCTGCGCCTTTTACCTTTCACCCCCGGACGAGGCCGGCAGGCCCAGGACGGACATCTGAGGGTGCCGCCTTCGGTCGACGGCGGCACCGTTGCACGCGACAGAACGGCGCGTAGGATGTCTCGCGTGCGGGAGGAGGACTGGGTGCGTGGAGTGACATCGGGCGGGGAATTTTGCGCGTGGCTTTTGTGGTTTTTACGATGGGCTGACCCGAGCGAGGTTTAGCAACGGAGCCGTTTCCTTTCGGTGTGTCGGGCGGGGGTCGTCGGGATCCTGTCCGCCCGATCCTGATTTAGTTGAGGCTTCTCCTTTGTCGGGAAGCCCGATCGTTTGAACGATCGATCGCTGATAATTATCGGCGATCGTTTGAACGATCGATCGCTGATAATTATCGGCGATCGTTTGAACGATCGATCGCTGATAATTATCGGCACGCCTGCCGCTGGACGGGAGGTTCTGGTCCATCCGGCTTGACGTGGGGGGCGGCCATTAATTTAAAAGGGGCCCCGGGTAGTTATCGGCGACGACGACAACATTTTTTTGCTGACAACATTTATCCCATTAATTGACCGAAATCATCATCCCAGCTCTGCTTTTGTGCCAGTCAGAACTGTCCACTGAACGCGTCCTCACCCTGAGCGCGTCCTCACCTGCCGCCCTTTGTTGAGGAGAGAGACACACACGGGTGCGGTGTGGCTTTGCTGAAACTGATCCGTGTCCTGTATGCGTACGTATTGCCGTTGAACTTCTTTGGCACCGTACGTAGCCAACCGTGCTGATCGGAAGGTGCGGAGTGGGTGGTGGGGGGGAGGACATTGAACTAAACACAAAAAGCCAATTGTGACTTCAATGGCAGCGGTCTCGTGAAAAGTAAAGCCAGCCGCCACTTACGCTGTTGCCCAAAGTGCACAGCACGGGGTGGATATTGCATGCTGTGTGTGTGTACGTGCGAGTGGCTGCGTTTGTGTGTACGTGCGAGAGGACGCCACTTCTAAGCGCGGTTTGTCTGGGTTAGGTCTCGCTGTCGCCTCTCACCGCCGCGGGAGCCGTCGATGAGCGTTGTGGCGCGCGTATCGATCTTATGGACCGTGCCAAGATGCCGCAAAGTAGTCCTCGTCAAAAGCTTCGAGGGGGTTCACAAACGCTCGATGGCGATACGTAGACCAAAACCCGCATCGCCAGAGGGGCGGCGACGACTCCGCGCGTTCAAAAACAAAAGGAACCCCACCCCCCCGCGGCGCCGGTGACTTCGGCAAGGATAACCGTAACTCCGTTCCAAGCGCGCTGAAATCAACGTGGGGGGGGGGGGGGCGGAGTGCTCCCGGTACAGAAGTGGCCCCACGAGGCCGAGGCGGTCCTCTCCGCGACCTTCGCACAAATGCGCCGGCGCGGTTTCGTCTACGAATTGTAGAACGTTGACCAAATTTAAATTGACAAACGCACGGTGTGATTTTTACAGACCCACCCCCCCCTTCCCCTACCCCGTCCTTTTTGTGTGTTTGTGTTGTTTTGCGCCATTTGTGCCGAAGCCTCGCGCACCGTTTGTCCCGTTGCACGTGCAAGGCGTTGTGCCCACCAACGGCAGATGTGATGCTCGGTCGTGGCGCGTGGCGCCCCGTGCAATGCCGTTGGACGGCCGCGAAAGAACGCCAGATCGGTTTGGACTTTTTGTCGCGGCTTGATCCGAAAGCCGATCTCTCGGAACGGGATTGTTTTACCGACGATGCGACCCATACCACGGAGGCGCGCAACGATGAGTTGCGATCGATTACGTTTCTCCCCCCGCCCCCCGCGACCCGATGAGACGCTCGTTCCCCGTTGTCGCGTGTAGAGTTCGACTTTTGTTTCTCGCCGACGTTCATCCTGAGTCTCAAGATTTTTTTGTTGTCACGAGGGCTCCTGAAAGTTTCGCAGTCGGAGTGGGGGGCGGCGGGGGGGGGGGGGGGTCGTCGGCTGCGTTGCTTTGTGTTTTTTTTATCCCAAATTTGCGGGTAAATTTCAACATTTTGCCAACGTTTGGATTTGTCTCATTTCCCCGCCCCCCCCCCCCCCCCATCAAGTTTCGTCACTCCGTTGTTTGTTCCGTTGGGCCGAGTGACATCCGCACGTGATGTGCATGTTGATTTTGGACACATCGCACGCTTTCGACGCGTGTATCTTGAGCCGAAGGAAACCACTTTAATCGACGTTCGCGATAAAAGGCTTCCACCAATACCGAATGAAGGAATGGCCTTGCTTTTCTCCCCACTATCTTTTTGCACTTTTGCTCTTTTTTTAACGTTAAGTCTTAAAGGTTTTTTGTTGTGTGTTCTCTTCCTGTGTGTGTGTGAGTGATGCAGAAATGTTATCAAGATTCAAGTTCGTTAAGGGGGGTAGCGTTAGTGCAGCGGGTTATCGCTACGCTGCGCTACGAACCCGCCGACCCGAGTTCCATTCCCGCTCACGGCCACCACCACCAACACCAGCGTGACGGTTATTCGAACCGGCCCTGTGCCTCCCCTCCCCTCGCTTCGACCTCAAATGAGTGCCTGGCGCGGCGCACAGTAAACATCGCCGCTGGGGAGACAAAGGCGGCCGGGCGTGGTGGTGTGCTGGCCACCCACCCCCTCGTGTGCCGTCGCAAACAGCACTTGCCCCAACAGTCTGTTGAGGCTTTAACAAGGTCGGGAGCGGGGGGGTTCCTTTTTTCTCCGATTCTGAAAGTTGACCAAGCTCCCCCCAAGGTGTCTCGCGGCTGCTATTGACGGCGAAGTTTTGCCCACAGTGGCGGCGGTCTGGATAACCGGGGGGGTGGGTGGAGGGGGGTACCACGGGTTTCCCGCAGTGCCACCCTCGTAGTTTACCCCCCCCCCCCCTGAGTAGCCCCCAGCGCGAGCTGTGTGCCCCCCTCTCCGTTCGACTCGTTGCGGGGCGAGGCCAGCTGTGCTTGTATCCGGAGCAGTGTGCTTTTATCAGAAGTTTGCGCCTTCCCCCCCCCACATCTCCCCCCTCCTAAGCGTAAACGAAGCATATGTTGCTTATACCAGAACTGTGATTATTATTTCGGTGTGCTCGTGTAAAGTTTCTCACTGCGTGGCTTCACATCCTTGCAAGCCCACCAGAGGCACTGCTATGCACAAGGAGTTGGTGACATGAAGGATTATTGAGTTTCATTAAAGGCCTGAATCGTGACGATTCATCTCACCCAGTCAACTACGGGGCCTCGGGGGGGGGGGGGGGGGAGAGGTGGGGCGGGCGGGGGGATGTTGGGTGAAATGTCCCTATCGTAGCTGATTGTACAATTGTGTGATTGTGGCGAGTAAGTTGCCCGGAACATAAGAAGTGATGCCCCTGCTGCCGCTGCTGCTGCTGCTGCGGTACGGGGCAAACACCGGCACGGTGGCTCTCCCCGGCCTGGGCTTGAACTGGGACGGCAGTGACGTGAGGAGCGAGTGGCGCAATGCGGAGCCGTTCGCAGTTCCGCTTCGCCACCAGCGCCTCCAACGCAGACCGACCGGGCGGTAGCTACCACGCTCTCTGCGGCAAGGCCCCACTTGTTAATCACGGATGAAGCGCCGAGCGCGTTCGACGGTTCGGGATCGTGAACTCCGCCACCCGCAAGAAACGTGCCAGTTGCTCGGTGCGCAAATGCCAGCACCGGGCGCGATGGGGTGGTTCGTTTGGCCGGGGCGGGCATGGGGCGGCGGTCGGATGCGTCGCGACCTTGTTACCTCGTGGCGCCGGGCAATCGCGAGCACTTGCTGGGATTTCAATTTGTTTGGTAGCAACTCCACAGGACGGGGGGGTTGGTGGTGGGGGTTGGTGGTGGGGGTTAAGAGTGGCGTTGGGCGGTTTTCGTGAAGCTGCTGAAAGAGTTCAACGCTGCAATGGCAACGAACGTCGAGACAGTACGGAAGGAGGAGCGCCGCTGTATGTTCACGGCGGTGGTTGCGTTTCGCGACGACGACGCCGCCGCCGCCTTGTGCTTGAAGAAATACAATCGCGTGTGGGAAAAGTTGAAAATGTGAAATTTTAAGGATCGTGGGGTTTTTTTGGGGGCGTGGGGGGGTAAAGAATTTGTTGTGGCTGCGGTGCGAGAAGTCGTGAGGTGGTCTCTGTGTGAGTCTACGGGTCTCTGCGCGAGTCTATGGGTCTCTGTGTGAGTCTACGGGTCTCTGTGTGAGTCTACGGGTCTCTGTGTGAGTCTACGGGTCTCTGTGTGAGTCTATGGGTCTCTGTGTGAGTCTATGGGTCTCTGTGTGAGTCTATGGGTCTCTGTGTGAGTCTATGGGTCTCTGTGTGAGTCTATGGGTCTCTGTGTGAGTCTACGGGTCTCTGCGTGAGTCTATGGGTCTCTGGGTGAGCCGATGGGTCTCTGTGCGAGTCTATGGGTCTCTGCGTGAGTCTATGGGTCTCTGTGTGAGTCTATGGGTCTCTGTGTGAGTCTATGGGTCTCTGTGTGAGTCTATGGGTCTCTGTGTGAGTCTATGGGTCTCTGTGTGAGTCTACGGGTCTCTGCGTGAGTTTATGGGTCTCTGGGTGAGCCGATGGGTCTCTGTGCGAGTCTATGGGTCTCTGCGTGAGTCTATGGGTCTCTGCGAGTCTATGGGTCTCTGGGTGAGCCGATGGGTCTCTGTGTGAGTCTGTGTCTTTGTGCGAGTCTATGGATCTCTGCGTGAGCCTATGGGTCTCTGCGTGAGCCTATGGGTCTCTGGGTGAGTCTATGGGTCTATGCGTGAGTCTATGGGTCTCTGCGTGAGCCTATGGGTCTCTGGGTGAGTATGTATGTTGAACTTCTTTCACACCGTACATAGCCATCCACGCTAATCGGAGGTGCATGGGGAAGACAACAAACGCATGCGTCTGTGTGGAGCGGTGGTGCAGCGGTTAGCACGCTGCGCTACGAACCTGGCGACCCGGGTTTGGGATCGAACCCACGCACTCCTGCATACCAGGCGAGGGCGTTAGCGTCTCATAGGCACCGCGGCGTTGAGACGCGTGCGCTGGGGTTGTAACCGTGCGGTTTGTATGTCCCCCCCCCCCCTCACCCACCTCTTCCGATACGTCCCCCCCCCACCGCCAGCGTGGAAGAGTAGGCCAAAAATAGCCTCCGGAGATTTCTGCTAAGTTGTTGGAGGCCTTTCCGTCGGCAAGTGGCGTCCGCAAAAGTGGTCACCGTTGCGTGCGCGGCCACGCTTTCACCTACCCCGTTTACCCCGTGATCTGAAAGTTTGGCGGTGCTTAACCAGCGACTGGGCCGCGATGCGTCCCGTAAATATTTGTTATTATTCATTTTTTTGTCACTTGTTGGGGGGGGGGGGGGGGGGGGGGGTGTGCGCGAGTATATTTCTCTTGCTCTGTGAGTTTTCCCACGATATCGGATGTGTGAACCGTTGTATATCGGGAGCGGCGAAAGGCGTGCGATTGTGTCCTCCAGATTATAAGGCGCGCACAGCTTTTATAACCCCACCCCACCCCACCCTTCCTCCTCCCCACCGCTGTATTCTGTGAACGAACTTTGGGGCGCGCGTCTTTCGATCTTCCCACAACGTCGTTTTTTTTTATGACAGCGTCGTTCAGAAACCACATTCTGAAAGACGGCTCATTCACACTCTTATTTTTTTCGGTAAAGTCACGGAGGTAAAAAATTAAATTTAAATTACTAAAAATAAAATAATTAAAAATTGTATTTTATTTTTATTAAGAGTGAATCCTTGCAGTCACCACACGAAAGCTTCAAATCTAGGCTCATTCATAGCCAATGCCGTATTCTCCCAATTATGAAAACTAAAATTGAATGACCAATCATTGGTGCATCTTTCTGGAGCGGCGTATAATCCGGGAGAATATGGTAATATCTGGGTTTTTATTTTCATACCGCTGCAAATGATTGGTGGATCATTCTTCTCAGTAGTTTGACCGATGCATGCCTCGATGTGGGGGATCGGTCGTTTGCGCGCGCGGCCTCGTACGTTAGCCAGAGAGGCATTCGCCAGATCCGAGGTGGTGCGCCCATCTTTCTTTTGTTCACGGATATATTTTCAAAAGCAAACCGAGCGCAAGGGACCCAATCCCCCGAATCACATACGGCAAAGTTGAGCCTGCTTAGTTCAGTACTTGGGTGGGTGATCGCTTGGGGATTTCCAGGCCCGGCCAAGAGGTGGTCGTGCCGAGTGTCCTCTCATCCCCCGGTCGTGCGAACTCGGAGTTTACCCCGGGGTCTCCTGTTTACTCTCACGGGAAGGCCAAACTGTCAAATAATGGAATTGGTCAAAAACACATACCCATTGGCAGGGCCTAGACTTTTACAAGTAAGCAAACATCCTCACAAATTTCATCGGTTGTGGCAAAGATGGCAAAATGCATCACGGTTATTCTCGGCGAGGCGTGTAACACTTGAAAAACGCCCTCCTGCGGGCTTTGAGAACACCACCAGCTTACTCGTGAAGGCCCACTCCACCAGCGATATACAACGGCCAATTTGGGCAGCAGTGGCCAAAGGGCCCTCTGACAATGGAACGAGGCACCGATTCGGCAGAAGATCGCTTTCGGGAGCTAACAAATAGACGGACGCTACGAAATCTCCTCGTGCGAGAATGGATGGGGGATGGCTTTGTGATTCATAATAGAGTTTGTTTGGGTTAGGTCGTGTAAAATATATAAATGTGTCGTTAAACCCGCCACCACCCGACACAGCCAACTAGTGAGGGTTGTCACGTAAAGAGAACGTGGCCAATTCGTCACTCGTACAACACTAGTGTATAGTGTAGTGTATAGTGTAATATACTAGTACAGCACTAACCGGCGTGTTGGAGAGCCAAGCCACAACATTTACAATCTGAGTACGACGTTTCGCCAGTAATTACAACTAGCTTCAAATCTAGCTCTGGATGTGCTGTACTCGTGACGAATTGGCCACGTTCTGTTTACGTGACAACCCTCACTAGTTGGCTGTGTCGGGTGGTGGCGGGTTTCAACGACACATTTCTATATTTATGCGATCGAACCCAAACAACCTCCATTATGGATGATCTTGGTCGCAAAAGGCTACTCCGTGTATAAACTGGCTTCGTAATTGTTTTTCTCCATTCAATCTTTTCAGTTGTGACGGTTCGTGTGTGTGGTTGAACCCGCTGGCGGCAGGCAGTAGTAGTTAGTAGTAGTCGTAGTAGTAGATGCGGGGATCGTGACCCTTGAAAATCGTGACAATTCGTCGAATCGCAGGAATTGTGAGACCCCTACCAAAGAGACAGAGCAAGCCCCCACAGCCCCTTCCGTGGGGGGGGGGGGGGGGGGGGTGATGGACCACGTCAGGACGAGTGTGCACGTTCGTCAAAGTTGCCGCCGCCGCCGCTGCTTTATAAAGGGGTTGTACCGCGCGGGAAAAGGTGTCCGACGTTTCGTTCCACGTTCAGTTGGCCTCCCGAAGATGCCAAGAGCCAGTATTTTCGCGGGTTTCCGCGCCGAGTCCCAAGTGCGTGCACAATTTACAGATTTTATTGTTTAAATGTAACCCCAGCGGACAACCGAGCGTTGTTGTTATTTTTGTTGTTGTTAAATTACGACTATGCTAAGAACGATGGTAATTATTATTTAATGTTTTCCTAACCCTCCCCCCCCCAACCTCAAACACCCCTCTCTCCCACCACAGTTTGAATCTCTTGTTTGTGGAGAGTCGATTTGCAGGATGCTGTTTTAATTGTCACAAGTAAGAATTTATTTTTTAATCAGGTACCTCATTGAAGAGCTATTACATTCCAGGTGTAAAGAAAACAAGTTTTAAATGTGTGTTGTGTCGCACAGCTGTTAGCCGCTTGTAATGTGTGAGGTGAAGTTGGTTCATGAACACGCGCCCTTCTTGCGTGTACCGCCACATTGAATATTGTACAAAAAAACAACTCAACTTTGAAAACGTCTCAAATTGCGGTCACCAACCACCCCCCTCCCCCCTGTACATTCAGTTTCGAGTCTACTTTTCTGTAGCTTAAATTACACATTGTATTATTGCCTCGTCAAATAAATGTTTATATCATTGCATGAGTTGACTTGCTGGTCCATGTGTTGTCGGTCTGGGTCGCGTCGTCGTCGTCATCATCATCGTCGCCGGATTAAAACCAATATAAATAAGACCACCTCCTGTCTCTCACACATTAAATACAAATGTAAGTACACGGTGCTTCAACAAAATGTTAACATTTCGATTTAAAGCTTTCGTGACTGCAGGGATTCATCTTCTTGGTTCTTTCGGTAAAGTCACGTAGAAGGGAAAAAACAAAATAATAAAAATAAAACATAATAAAATACAATTCTCACGACGTTTCGGCCACAACGCAAGCAGCCATCCTCAGGTGAAGAACAGGTCTGTCGGAAAGACAGCGTCTGAATCAGGTCAAGAACAGGTCTGTCTTTCCGACAGTCCTGTTCTTCACCTGAGGATGGCTGCTTGCGTTGTGGCTGAAACGTCGTGAGAATTGTATTTTATTACGTAAAATTTTTATTATTTTATTATTTCCCTTCTACGTGACTTTACCGAAAGAACCAAAAAGAAAAATGTTAACACTTATATGGGACTATCGTTTTTAATGTGAAAATGAACAGAACACACCGTTAACACAACAAATGTAATGCTGATAGCTTCAAAAAGTCAAAGAGTCTGCACTCGTTCGCCATCGTTGTCAACGCTACGCCTGGAATCTTCTCCAGGTGGTCTCCAGAGCTCGGAGGCGGCACATTTCTCGTGGCGTTGTTGAAAAATTGTCTCAGGAGTGTTCACTTTTTGAAGCAACCCCGTACTTTAAAACACAACTCCAGAGAGACCCGCGGCCTTTCCTGGGAGGGCATCCACTTGCAGCTGCAATTTGTTCATTACAAGCAACACTCTGGGCCGGTTTCAACATGCAGCGTCTCGCCAGCTTTGCTAAAAGCAGTGGTTGCTTGACCTGTTACGACAGCCCGCTTGGCAGAGAGGGCATCTCGCACCCCCAGGGGGGGTGCGTGTGTAATAAAGGTCGTGGAAGCGACTTCTGGAATTCGGTCTTTATTTGTCTTTCGTTCACAACACTCCCATCTTACTCCTTCACGCTGCTGACAGCGTGAGAGGGAGAGAGACGCGCGACGCGCGACCACGTGGCAGCCTGGACCACGTGGCAGCCTGGACCACGTGGCAGCCTGGACCACGTGGCAGCCTGGACCACGTGGCAGCCTGGACCACGTGGCAGCCTGGACCACGTGGCAGCCTGGACCACGTGGCAGCCTGGACCCCGCTCCGTCCGTTCCAAATCTGATCACGTGTTGTCCGTCTCCACCCCTTTTAATACCCGGGTCACGTGGTACCTTTCCACCAATCCTGGTTAGCCTCTATGGAATCTTCTAGACTCCATCGTACGCTCCCAGTACCACGCCCCTGACTCGTCCCCCCATTGGCTGTGGCTAAAGCCAGCAGAACCAATCATCTACTTACAGATGTCACCTTCCCATTACGTCAGGGCCACGCCCCTAGACTGCCCCCCCCCCATTGGCTATGGGTCAGGACCGGCAGAGCCAATCATCGTAACGAGGTGTGATCCATCCGCAACCCGGATATGTCCTCACATTACACGTGCACCTCGGGTTAAGAACCAATGGCTTAAATCCATGCTGGTGAACTGCCAGATGCTGTTGATCCGTATTTGTTTATTGGCTATGAGAAGCTATAACGTTATATGGGCAAACTCATTGTTATTAACTGGGCGCTGTGGTGGCGAGATATGAACTACCTCGCCTGGTATACAGGAGGTCGTGGGTTCGATCCCATCCCTTGACGATGCCTGTTTATTTGGAGTTTGTAGGTCTCTCTCTATAGTCGCGTGGATTTTTCTCCGGGTTCTCCAGTTTTTCCCTCCACATGTATAAATATGCACTTGAGAGTATTTGTCTGCTATAGATTTCCACGATGAGCCACCGTCGTTGAGCGATCATTCGTGGCCAGGTCGCTTCTCGAAGAAGAGAGCTACTATAAGCTCCGTGGGCCTTACCTGGTAAAATAACAAACCCCACGCGACCATGGAGAGAGAGAAAGACACGTTCACACGCAAGCTCGAAATACAGCAGCAGGCGTCCGGGAAGGGATCGAACCCACGACCTCCTGCAGACCAGGACGAGGTAGTGAACATCTCACAGCCACCGCGGCGCCGCTGAAAAATAGAACCAACCCCCCGACCACCTTTTGTTGCCTTGTTTTAATAAAATAATTTCATATTTTCTGTTTCCGTGCGTCTGGAAAGCCGGGGCGCGAGAACGTCACCCGATGTCAAGCGGTTCACTCGCTGTGATGAAAATACACGAAGCTTTCCTCGCTGCAACAAAAATAATTACTTTTTTTTCGATCGATGAGGGGGAGGGGGAAAAATAAAGAAATTGGAACGATGTTACTCGCTCCCAAGAACCGTGTTCCAATCCGACCGAGGCATGTTCGCTTTCCAACACGGTGTCATCTGTTGAATTTATTCTCTCCGTATATTTTTTTAAAAAGCTTTACGCACAATTATATTCCATCGGGCTACCGTGAACACCTCGTCCGTAACGTGTGTGCCCCATCACGCGAGGTCTCAACATCTAATCTGGGTGGTCCACGGTGACTAGGAGATGTTAACTACCTCGCCTGGTATACAGGAGGTCGTGGGTTCGATCTAGATCCTGACGCCTGCTGCTGTATATTTGGAGTTTGCGTGTCTCTCATCATCACAGTGGCTAGGAGATGTTAACTACCTCGCCTGGTATACAGGAGGTCGTGGGTTCGATCTAGATCCTGACGCCTGCTGCTGCTGTATATTTGGAGTTTGCGTGTCTCTCATCATCACAGTGGCTAGGAGATGTTAACTACCTCGCCTGGTATACAGGAGGTCGTGGGTTCGATCTAGATCCTGACGCCTGCTGCTGCTGTATATTTGGAGTTTGCGTGTCTCTCATCATCACAGTGGCTAGGAGATGTTAACTACCTCGCCTGGTATGCAGGAGGTCGTGGGTTCGATCTAGATCCTGACGCCTGCTGCTGCTGTATATTTGGAGTTTGCGTGTCTCTCATCATCACAGTGGCTAGGAGATGTTAACTACCTCGCCTGGTATGCAGGAGGTCGTGGATTCGATCTAGATCCTGACGCCTGCTGCTGCTGTATATTTGGAGTTTGCGTGTCTCTCTCTCATCATCACGGTGGCGAGATGTTAACCACCTCGCTTGGTATACAGGAGTTTGTGGCTTCGATCCCGACCCTGACGCCTGCTGCTGCTGTATATTTGGAGTTTGCGTGTCTCTTTCTCTTCGTGGTCACGTGTTCCTCCGGTTTTCCCCTCTACTATTATAAACATACATTTGATGAGTATTTGGTTGCTCCACACGATGATAAGCCACTTCCTTGGGCTATCATTTGTGACCAGGTCACTTGTGAAAAAAATCTGTATACAGTAGTTCAGTGGGCCCTTACCTGGTAAAACAAAAAAAAAGTTTCTATTTATATCTTCTTGGTACTTTCGGTACAGTCACGTAGAAGGGAAATAATAAATTAATTAAAATAAAACATAATAAAATACAATTCTCACGATGTTTCGGCCACAACGCAAGCAGCCGTCCTCAGGTGAAGAACAGGTCTGTCGGAAAGACAGCGTCTGAACGACAGACCTGTTCTTCACCTGAGGACGTCGTGAGAATTGTATTGTATTAGGCCTGCAGGATCTTTTTTTCTTCCATCCTCCAATAACAACACCGCGTGGCCTTCATAGGAAACATATCGTACATGTGACGTTTCGAGAAATGGCCCTTTCCCAGAATACATAGAAATATCACACGTGTGTAAAATCTATTGTTACGTGCTATTAAGAAGGGCCATTGTCCGAAACATCGTCAGCCACAGGATTTTTAATGGCGCCACGGTGGCTAGGAGATGTTAACTACCTCGCCTGGTACGCAGGAGGTCGTGGGTTCGGCTCCAACCCTGACGCCGGCTGCTGCTGTGTATTTCGAGTTTGGACGTCTCGCTCTCTCCCTGTGGTCGCGTTGATTTTTCTCCGGGGCCTCCGGTTTTTTTCCCCCTCCACATTTAGAATCAACGTTGCGTTTTGGGTATTTGGGCTCCTTTAAATTTGCACACGACGACTATTAGCCACTTCGCTGAGCCATCATTTGTGATGGACCTGGTCTCGCTTCTGAAAAAGAGTTGCGTAGTCAACAACGCTCTCATCAGTCCGACCGAGAACACAAGGATTCTAGATTTGAAGCTTACGTGACTGCAAGGATTCATACTCTATGTTTTTTTCGGTAAAGTCACGTAGGCAACACAAGCTCAGTGGCGCCACCACCACGCGTACACCACCACCACGCGCACCACCACCACCACGCGCACACCACCACCACGCGTACACCACCACCACGCGCACCACTACCACGCGTACACCACCACCACGCGCACCACCACCACCACGCGCCACCACCACCACGCGTACACCACCACCACGCGCACACCACCACCACGCGTACACCACCACCACGCGCACCACTACCACCACCACCACGCGCACCACCACGTACACCACCACCACCACGCACCACCACCACCACGCGGTGCCGCTGAGGAATGGGCCACGTGCTTCTCCGCAGCTCGGCAGAATCGATGAGAGACGCTCCGCAGGAGGCCCACGACAATTCGCAGACAATCATTTGGTGATGATGATGATGCAGCTGCTGCAACAACAACAAACAACAACAACAAACAACAACAACACCGGCGATGGTACGTGGAGCAGCGGTGTGGAACGCGCGTCGCGTTTGACCCCTTTTCCCCCTGGCCGAACCGAGTTCGAATCTCGGCTCACGACCAACAACTGTGGCGGATTGCTTGGAACTGCTCCTCTCAAGGTCCACTCGGCCTCAAATGAACTCCCTGGCGCGTCTGTGTTCTCACATCGCCACTCAGAGAGAGAGAAAGACAAAGGCGTCCGTGCGTGATTGTCGGCCACCAATATTTTGCTGTCTTTTCTTGGATTTTCTGTTTGCACTTAAGTCACATAGT